CCATTGAATTAGAATCTAATGTTAATCGACCATATGTTGACGTTCCCGGTACCTCCACAAATAAAAGGAAAGAGAGTCTATGACATCTTTCGAACCGAGAAGAAGTCAACGTGAAAAAAAAGAAAAGAACCTCGCACCGGATTTTATTTCATCTCAAGTTTTAACCTTTTTGGTTGAAGGAGATAGAAATGGTGTACTTAATAAAATACCATTGTTGCTTAATGTAGAGGAAGATCCAAAGACATTTAATGAAGCTATGACTTCAAGGAATGCCTCCTTTTGGAGAGAGGCTGTGAATGATGAAATGGATTCAATTATCTCGAATCAAACTTGGATCTTGGTCGATCTTCCTCCGGGATCAAAACCAATAAGCAACAAATGGGTGTTTAGGAGAAAGTACAATACCGATGGGTCTATACTAACATTCAAAGCTAGATTAGTAGCTAAAGGCTTTAAACAAAAGCGTGGTATAGACTATTTCGATACATATGCTCCGGTAGCTAGATTGACATCCATAAGAGTGCTATTTGCAATTGCATCGATATGCAATTTGCATGTGCATCAAATGGATGTTAAGAGGGCTTTTCTAAATGGTGATCTTGATGAGGAAATCTATATGGAACAACCCGAAGGGTTTGTATTACTTGGAAATGAAAAGAAGGTTTGCAAGTTAGTTAAGTCTCTTTATGGTTTAAAGCAAGCACCAAAATAATGGCATGAGAAATTTGATAATGTCATTTTATCTCATGGTTTTAAGCATAATAATGCGGATAAATGCTTATACTCTAAATTTACAAATTGTTTTTGGTGTGATAATATGCTTATATGTTGATGACTTGCTCATTTTTAGAACAAACATGCAAGGGGTAAATGATACCAAGAAATATCTAACTTCACAATTTAAGATGAAAGATCTTGGTGAAGTAGATACTATCTTAGGCGTAAGAGTGAGGAAGCATAGTGGGGGTTACTCGTTGTGTCAATCTCATTATATTGAGAAGGTGCTTCTTAAATTCAATCATTTGAAGTTTAAAGAAGCAAATACCCCATATGATTCTAGTATTAAATTACTAGAGAATGCAGGCAAAGCGGTAGCACAGCTTGAATATGTTAGTGCGATCGGTAGCTTAATGTATGCTATGCATTGTACAAGGCCCGACATAGCATTTACGGTATGCAAAATGTCTAGGTTCACGAGTAACCCGGGTATCGAACATTGGAATGCAATTGGAAGAGTACTTTATTATCTTAAAAGAACCATTAACTTGGGTTTGACATATAATGACTATCCGACTGTACTTTAAGGGTACTCGGATGCAAGTTGGATAACAAGTGCAAGTGATAATAAATCTACATCCGGGTGGATTTTCACAATTGCAGGAGGAGCCATCTCTTGAGCTTCTAAGAAACAAACGTGCATAACTCACTCTACGATGGAGAGTGAGTTTATAGCACTTGCCGCTGCAGGCAAAGAAGCGGAATGGCTAAGAAATCTATTGCTTGATATTGAGTTGTAGCCATAACCGATGCCATCTATTTATTTGTACTGTGATAGTGAAGCTACTTTGTCTAGAGCTTATAACACGGTTTATAATGAAAAATCTAGACATATTAGCTTGAGACATGAATATGTTAAACAATTAATAACTGATGGTGTTATTAATATTGTTTATGTTAGGACAAACAAGAACCTAGCGGATCCTTTGACGAAAGGTCTTTCAAGAGACTTAGTCAAAGAAACATCTAGTGGAATGAGACTTAAACCTTTCTTTGAAAGAGTCACCAATGATGGTAACCCAACTATGTAATAGTTGTACCGCTATTCCATAGTTAAATGGGTAAGAACAAATTATTGTTATTTGACCGGGTTAGCACCGAACTTTAATTAGTCCCTTCCAGGATATTGGTGCAAAAAAAATAGCTACGTGTTTGAGGTTGAGTTTATACTCTTAATGAAGTTCGAGTCTCTTAGTAGCTAGAGATATAATTCGAACTTCACCTAAGTGAACATAAGGAATGGTGCCGTTCCTAACAAGACCTTGGTTTAGTCTTGTAAATGTTCATGAATCCAAGATAGAGCACAAGGCCGGAATAGTACTTAACGATTGGAACAGTTTTTAAATCTTGGATAACACATATGTAATATATTTCCGGTATTTGCTTAAGAGACAAAGTTTAATGCAAAGCACACTATTGTCTTGTGAATACTTTGAAGTATAGTCACTAAGTAAAAGTTAAAATCGAAAGATTCCTTCATATATGTATGTGTTTATCATTGTTAATTCTGAAGAAATATTACAATCTAGTGGGGGATTGTTAGAGAGATTGTAATATATCTCTCAATTTTGATATCACAAATTGGATTAAAACACATTCAGAAAGAGTGGGCTGACACAAGCGCGCGCTGCAGCCTGCGCAAAACAGACCTCTCGGGTCTGTTTTGCTAGGCCCGCGCGCTGCAGCGCGCGCCTGGGCGCTGCAGCCTGCGCAAAACAGACCTCTCGGGTCTGTTTTGCTAAGCCTGCACGCTACAGCGCACAGCAGAGTGCGCTGCAGCGCACGGACGCGCTACAGCGCGCCTCTTGGGCGCTGCAGCGCAAATTATTAACGGAAAATGTGTTTTCGTGCGTTTTAGTGATTTGAAAAGGTCTCGAACCATTGCATCTATTTGTGATATGTTTTCTCACATATCTGAGCACTTATTAACAATAGAAATAACTATTGATATAAGTGCATCAGCATATAAAAGATAACCATCAAATTGAAAAGGTATCTTTATGTGAAAGGTTGTAACACTTAAAGAGGATGGATGCATCTATGTCTTTATTTGATAGATTTCAGAAAATACAGATTTATTATTGTTCTGGAACTCAATATTTTTGCTGGATATTGTGTTCAAGGGTTTGTTGTATCTTGGGGGTAATTTACCATTTTAAAACTCGTTAGCAAACTTTGAGAAGTAAGGACAAATAAAACCTTAAAGAAAAGTATTCCTATACGCCTCAAACCCTTCTTTCTGCATTCTTTATTCTTTTCATCCTCCCAATTCTGAATTTGTTCTAACATTTGTTAACATCCAAAGGGGTATGCTAAAAATGGTAGCCCCTCGCCGAATTTAAAAAAAAAATCTACCTTTTCATTATGGAATAATACATGATATAAATACAAAATGTAAGTCAAAGAACAAAATTTGATAAATTTTTGTTGGCCATAATCCTTAAACCCACAAGCCAAGAATCATCACATCAAATTATCAAGAAAATAGGTTATAACAAATATTTATCTCTATTGGTGCAGCTTTAATCTTTAGCAGAAAATCTCTTCGACGACGTGTTCTTGGGGTTATCACCTTCCTCAGTCAAATCACTGAATTCTTGAATGAGTGCTTAATCTCTTTATGGGGAAGAGTGAAAACCTATCGTATGATTTGACGTATTAGGGACCGTAACTATAAGTTCCTTGATATATTGTCCCACTAGACACCCATTAAACCTAATTGGGTCAATATTTAGTATCAACTCATTTAGTCCATACTCATTTAGGAAACTTATTGGACTTTTTTAAATTGACTAATTGATTTGTCCAATTAATTTAAATAACGTTAATATAATTGTCAATTAATATGTTGGCCACAGTAGACAGGAAATAAAATTTCCTAACAATTTGATCGTGTTAGTTGGTAAACACTGATGTTAAACACGCATTCTATTAAGCAAATGAAAACAAGAATGTTTGTGTTCATGGTATTGTACGTGAAACGTTTTTAACATATACGATCAACTTTATCTGTTTGTGCTTAAAAAGTTATTCTTTACTGTTGAATGGAAGAAAGGGGAAAGAAGAAAAACTTGAAATAGAAGGTGTCATACATAAGAAAGAATGAGAACTTGAAACTGAAGATGGTAAAAAAGCTTCCTAACGTAATGGAAGTATCCATAGATGTGATTTCTGTAGCTTAAGGCCAAGTAGTGAACTGAAAGACTTTGAAGACAATGTCAATTCCAGTTGGTATTTGCCAAATAAAAAGTGCAACATTTAGTGTGTTCAATGCAATGTGAAGATTTCTGGCTGTCTCGTTCCCCTTTTGCATTGCCGGAACAAGGGATGCCGCGGCCGCCCAGAGCACTGCGATACCTGTTTGTTCACAAGAATCCGACCAGAGATTAAATTAATAACTCACAAGCACAAAGCCGCCGACAAAAACTAATCTGAATTAGTTGAAAAAAATAACAACAACAACAATAATAATAATAATAATCTTCATTGTGCCGCCTGAATTCTAAGATCATTTTTACTTTGCCCCCTTAAACTTTAGAAACTCTGAAGACCCGTTTAATTCGTTGATTCGAGTTTTTAATTTAAGTTGAAATGTGACTTTATGTGAGAGTTTTGTACTGTAATAAAAAAGTTAAATGTGATTGTTTTTGCTGTAGCAAAACTTGAATCGGTGAAATGAACAGATCTTAATTTACCCTTTGAGTTTTGAATTAGTCCCATTAAACCCTCTCTTGTAGGATTCTTGTTAAACTATGCGGAAAAAAGACGGTTAGGTACGGTCAAGTAGTATTTTTTGTTTATTTTTAACAAAAATTCAAACAAAAAAAACCACATGTCAACACATTTCCTCTATTTTTAAGGAAAATTCTAACTCAAGTCCCTAATTCATAATTTAGGGGACAAATGGAGAGGTTTTAAAATTTAGGAGACAATATTGTTTCTAAAAATAATCATTAAAGAAGAAAAAGAAAAAGCCTTCTACTTTACCTGCTCCTGCAAACAAATGGGGTCCAGGGAATAGCTTTCCTGTCCTAAACCATGTGTTAATTGCTCCACCAACAGACTCAAACACCCCAAATCCTAGCAGTACTGACCCTGCATTGAAGTGTCTATCCCTGTAAGACCCCTTCAACAACTCCTTCCTCTCCTGAATTGGAAAATACTAATTACAATCACATACTTTCTCAAGGCAACAATATAAACAAAATGAGCATCAAACAAAAGCACCAAACATCAAATAATTCCAATCCTCAACAAGCAAAGTCATAAACCAAAAAAAATTCTACAAAGAATTTAACTCTCATGAAAATTACACCTCGGGAATAGAGAAATTGCAGTGGATAACTCTTTCTAAGGTCTACTTTAAGTGGATGCCCTGGTTTTGTTAAATTAAGAAAATGCCTTATTGAAAAAAAAACAAAAACAAAAAAGGTTTACTTTGATAAATCATTAATGGATTTTTTATAACTTAGTGGTTGATCTTGTTAAATCATTGATTAAACTAATCATTAATATATCAACGTATGTGTAACGTATCAAATTTCAATCACCTAAATTATTGATTCTTAACTTTTACGAAACATATTTTTTTTTCTTTTTTCTTTTTTTAAAAAAGGCAATTTTGCACATATCTCAATTCCCAAAATCACATGTGCGTTTTTATTGACGTTTAGTTCATAAATTAGAATAATGTGATTAAAATTATTTTTAATTTACGTATATTTTTTTGTAAAAAAAAAATGCTGTAGCAAATTATAAACTATGATTCAAATTATTTGAATCTTCTAATTAAACATCCCAATTTAACCAACACAAGAGTGACGGAATAAAAAAAAAAAGCCTACCTCAGTGAGTTGCTGAATTTTGACTTCAACAGGTGATGGTGGTGCTTCCACAGGTTTCCCATCTGGCGTAACTGGGGTAAGCTTAACTTGCTTCTTGAGCTCACTAATCTCATTCTGAATCGTCCTGACTCGCCTCCATTGCCATCCCAAATAGCCGGCCCACAATGTGTACAAGAACAAACTCCCCATCACAATTGGGTGAATCAAAGCAAACGACCTTCCCTCCAATATTCCAAATTCCCCGTCCACAGCAGCTGCATTCTGGGGAAAAAAAAAAAAAAAAAAAAAAAAAAAAAAAAAAAAAAAAAACTTTGAATCAAACAAATGCAAAAAATTAAAACAACCCCACCAAAGAAAAAAAGAAAAAAAAAAAGAAATGGGCTTGCCTTGGGGTCGAAGAAGAAGGGCAATGTGAGGGCTGTGAGGGGAAGTGAGGATGACTCGAGCTGACGAAGGGCTTGAATGAGAAGGTTTTGTGTTTGTGGGTCAGAGGAGGATTTGGGTGAAAGTGGAACGCGCAGTTTATTTTGGGTGCTTTGAAGTTTGGGTTTTGAGAGACTGGGGTTTGGTTTTGTCGGAACAAGAGGAGGCAGTTTCAGAAAGCTGAGCGTGGCGGCCATGCTCGCTCTAGAGAGAGAGAGAGAGAGAGGAGAGAGAGGGGAGATAACTGGGTCGTGGCAGATTACAGAAAAGATAAGGAACTGATGAGACTTTATGAGTCTATTATCTATATATGATGTTCGTGTATGTGATTGGTTGGATCAGTGTTATTTATTTATTTATTTATTTTTCTGGCTAACCAGTGTTATTTGACAACGTGTTTTATAGCTAGACAGTACTTTTTTGTTGAGCCCTGTTCTAGAATTTAAGGTAAGAAGTGGACCCCATAATGGAAGGACCGGTGCGATCCAGGTGGACCCTTCCCTTTGTATTCAATTATCAATATCGTGCTTCTTATTCATATCACTTTTGGTGGGTCCTTCTACGGTTCTACCTTCACGGCAGCGGCTGGCTTCGCAAATTTATTGTAATTTTTATAAATTTTGGAGACGTTTGTAAGGAGATTCATATTATAATTTAAATTATAATTTATAATATATTATAATTTTTTTTTATAAAAAATATATATAAATAAAAAATAATTTTAATATTATAATTCTAATTTATAAACGAAACGTCTTTTAGTATGTAAAGTTTGTAAGTTTATTGTAAAATTCATAAATTATCATATTTTTAAAAAATTTATAAGTTTATGTAATTATAGTCACATTCGTTTTACAGATTTAAATTTTTAATTCGAGTTAAGATGTGACATTTTTTAAAAACTTTTAACTGTAACAAAAAAAGTTATCTATGATATTTTTTGAGAATTTTTAACTATAAAAATTTAAAATTAAAAATTTAAATTAATAAAATAAACGAGACCTATAATATTCAAAATTTACAAGTTCAAACATAAAATTTACAAGTTATCATTTTTCTGACTCAGTGAAAAAAATACTTCTCTCAGCATCATAAAAGTTTCCCCTATCAAGTCAGCAATTATTTCAATAGGGTTCAATTTTCTAATAGGATAATTTAGTGGGATTTGTTTATAAGTTACAATTTTATTTATGTCCGTATGAATGCAAATTTTCCATTTCACTTTACATTGCTGGAAATATATGGGATGTAATGATAAAGGAATGGTTTTTTTTTTTTAATGTTTATTTATGAAGTAGGATTTGAAATGATTTAATTTCATTAAAGTGTTTATTAAGTTTATGAATAAAAATTGTAGTAACTTTATTATTGGTTAAGTGACTTTTTTTAATATGGTTAAATTGAATTTTGCAACATAATAATAATAATAATCATAATAATAATTTAATATTAATAAGATTATTGGTTAAAACTTAAAATTTTGTAAGACTACAAAAGTAATTTAAAATTGACTTTTCTGTTCTCATTTCATATGATGGGTGTCACTAAATTAGCAATTTTTTGTGTGAACAATAATAGGTAATGAAGAGAAACACCCGGCTTTTTTTCTCATTTATAATAAAGTTGACACATCGTGAAAATCCAAACAAAATTATGTAGCTGGACAATGAAAAACAGCAGAGAATTTGGGTTCTACTAAAGCACTCTTTGCCTGTAAATTAATGTAATTTTCTCTTCTCATCGAATGATGACTGATACAAGTATCAGAACGCCTTTTTCAAGACAACTTTACTGATTGAAAAAGCAATATAAGTTTTTAAAAAAAATTATTAAACTTATGAATTTAAATTTTTACTCTTTAATTTTGAATAATACTTTTTAATTAATATAATTATTTAACTAAAAATAATATTAATTAAGTGTCAAGAATAAAAATTTAAATTCGTGTATTTTAAAGAATATTTATCCCCTTTTACAAAAAAAAAAAAAAAAAAAAAAGGAACAATAGATTATTTCTCGTTTTAGCTACAACATTAATGCCGAATGCCATAGATGGAGTGTTTAGGCACTCAGATTCTTCGACAAGTTGGCTCATATTTAGAATCAGTTTAGAGTTATTGTACTTTTAATAAAAATAATATTTTTATTTATGCTATGTTTAGTAGGATGGATAGAAAAGATAAAAGGAAAGAGAAGTAAAATACATAGGTGAAATAAGTAAAATAATTTTCTCTCATGTTGTTTGGTAAAAGAGAAAGAAAAGTGAAAAGAAAACGTCAAATTTAAGGCATTTTATAATAATATCCCAATACAAATAAAAATATGATGAGGGATGAACGTAAAAATTGTTATTTTACATCTTATTTTTTTGTCAAACTTTTTCCTTTCTTTTTTCTTTCCAAAGTTGGAAGGATTAAAAATTTGTGGGCCCTATGGATTTTTATTTCCTTTCCTTCCTCATTTCCCTCTACCAAACAACTTAAAATTCTATTTTCCTCTACAAAATTCTTTCTCTATTTTCTTTCATTTCTCTTTTCCACCCTACCAAACACACTTTTAACACAAAAGCAAAAATACAAGTAGAATTTAAGGCTTCGTTCACTTCGCGGATTTGAGTTTTCAATTCGAGTTGAGATGTGACATTTTTTTAGAGCTTTACACTGTAGCAGAAAAAGTTAGATGTGACATTTTCTGAGAGATTTTAACTGTATAAACCTAGAATTGCAAACTCAAATCGGTGAATGAACGAAACCTAAAAGCTACACATATTAATTTCTCAAAATAACTTAAAAAGTATATTAATTTGTGTGTAAAATGCTTTTGTACACTTTTATCAAGCAATATAATTACATCGTTTATTGTGCAACAACACACTTTTAGAGGACGTTTAGTTTATGTATTCAGAACTATTATCGTTTTACGTATATTTTTTATGAGAGAAAATAATGTAGAGAATTACTAATCATGATTCAGAATCAGGGACGAATATAACATGTTGGTATATGTTAGAGGGCTCATCAGCAATTGGACTGTCAAAGATGCAAGTGCACTCGGGAAAGACCATTCCAACTTCCACTACCTCTTGCTTTTGAAATAATTAAACCATCAAAGAATCTGATTCATAGCAAGAGACTGATAAATCATGACCTACCCCATTTCATTACTATGAAGTATGAACGATTCTGTAGTACAACACGTAATGTTTTTAGCTATCACATGTTTACAATTTTTTTTTTTTTTTGGCATAATAAGAAAAGGGGATCAATGACATCCCCTAGCTCGTATAATCACTTGACGATCAATTAAGACCGCAAATAGAATAGAAAAAAAATTTAACTCATATTTTCGTTAACTAACATTTAGAGTCTAAAATCACATTAATCTAAACTATATTTAGAGGCTGTTTGGGAGGCATAATATGACAGGTCGATTAGAGGTACAATATGACAGGCCGATGAGAGATATAATTCAATCTCACAACGGACAATGGGAATCAAACCCTAAATGATAAAGGTGGAGTCTTATTAGGATGTCTTTCGCTACTATGCCACCACCACCGGTGGTTTATAAGCTAATTATAAGACCAAAATTCTAATATTAAAACAATATTAATGACACTTGTGTTGAGCACCATACACCACTAAAAGGGTGGATCCGAAAACCTGAAACCAGTTTCTATCAGGGCCTCCATCCATTTATGACACTGACATGAACAATCCAAGCAATAGCGTAAACAAACTACACAGGCAATAGCTTTTGTAGCTGATGGGCCAAAAGGCATAAGCTGGGATTTCTATGTCAAAGACACCAGACCTAGCTAATGAGCCTTAACAGAACTCCCACAAAGGCCCAAGACCCTGAGCAATGAAATAACCCATTTGGCATTTGCTACCTCATTGACCTACCAAACTAGACTATAAGGACTGTATTATTATTATTGTTATTATTATCTCTTAATTAATATTTTTTTAGGGCTGTTTATAAACCCACAGGCTTAACCCATCCCACCTCAACTTAATTTGAGAAATGCAATTTCTAGTATTAAATTTTTTTTTTCAGCCCATTCAATGTCTAGCTCGGAGTTTTGGGACGGGGTGTAGATTGGGCCTATAATAGCCCGCACATCCCAACTCAACCCGCGCTCTAACTTGTCTCCTCTAATATCTAACCCTAGGCAGACACCTCATTTTTACTCTCTAGTTTCTTCATGTTTGAATTAAGCATCTATGTTTACTTTATGTTAAGACTAATTTATGTTTGTTTTATGTTTGATGTTGGATGGACTACTTTGCTTCATGTTTGATGTTAGATTGAACTTTGAATTTCTATTGTTTGAATGTTGGAGTTATTATTTTTATTTGATGTATGTTGGAGTTATTATTTTTATTTGATGATAAACTTTGAATGTTAGATTGAACTTTGAGTCTTTGATTCTTTGAATGTTAAAACTGACCGCCTAACTCACGCCGTAAAATTTTTCTAACATCATTGGGATTAAATATGTACAATTCACACCCTTTCAAATAGAAAAAAAAAAATCATATCTCATGCCAACCCAACTCATACATTTAAGAGTAACTTTAACAAATTTTTAGACTTTTTTTATTAACAGTTTCAAACCTAAGAATTTAACTATTCGTACAAACAAGACTGACACAAAAATATATGATTATTACCTGTTGGCTGCAGTAGACCTAGAAGTGACAAAACAAAGCCTCGAATAAACCGATCCTTGGTGGCCTACACACTTGATGAATAGCTTTGTCCCAGCTTGTACCATAAGCGTAACATGAAGTTGTGATTCGATTAAGACACAACACCCTCATTTCACACTCATAAATATCAATCAAGTCCTTTATATGATGGTTGGCAAACGGTGAAACATTTTCAAGTATTATGGGTAGCCAAAACTGAAAGAATCCAATATCATTTACTTATTAGGCTCCTTCTTGATTAATAATTGACCTATATATCATACAAATATATATGTATGTATATATATATATATTTATATATGCGGCCTTAGTAATATTTCATGTGTATACCGCATCATTACGCATAGGTTAGCGATCGTTTTCGTGCGTTCATTCGCATATTACATGTTAACTAAAATCGAAAAGATTGTTGCACCGCTTGATTTTTCTTGTCCTCTAACTAAATATCATCGACTGATTTGCAGCCACAACAACCATACAAATGTGTGACCGTTTCTGGCCTCTCAAACTTCACTTTCAGCACCGGAATATTCCATTACATTTGCTCCTTTAGGCAACCTCCCCAAAAGCGTTTTTTATTTTTACATGAATCTCAAAATTTCTTCTATAAATAATCAGGATGGAGGGCACAATGACACTTATAATTCTTCTTTTTTTTTTAAATAAAAAATGGAAAATTAACATTCTTAACAAATGGTGTTTGGAGGATCTTTTTCCTGCCAAATACCCAAATAAAATAAAAATAAAAATAAACGAGAAAAAACCAATTTTCTTGTAAAACTATATTGTACTCCACTCTATTAGTCGAGAAAAATGTAAAGGGAGTTGCTGAAGATTAAAACTTTTATGCTATGCGAATACTTTCTTTAATTTGGGTGCAAATTTTTTGTCCCTTGCCATAAAAATAAACATATCTATGTGCATTATATGGGTGCGCTATCATTCCTTGTTGTTTTGAGGTGAATTTGTATGTCCATTTACCATGCACGTAACCTACTTGGCAAGACCAAATATCATTGAAAAAGCCAAAACTTAATTGAGCAACTTTTTTGGAGGAGAGAAAATTTCAAATTGAGCATTCCGAAAGAGACACTAAAGACTTTTAAACGCAAATGGCATCAAGTTTCACCAGTTTTCTGCTCTCTTTATGTTTGACGGAACAGTCTAGTTGCTACCTAATTATTTTAGTTTTAATAAGGGTCCAATTGAATTAAAACACCCATGTAGTTGTACCAATACAAGGCGTATTTTAATTAAAAAAAAAAAAACATGGCGTATTTTAAGTAAGTTTCACCCACGTTTTAAAAAAAAAAAGACTGAGTAGTACATTTTGTATATTTGTTTTGGAGATTTTTCTACAATACGCATTGAAAAAAGAAATTACAGATCTTAATCAATAATTATTTGTTCTACATATTATTTTAATTTAATGTGATTTTGACAATATCTAAACAGTAAGAAAGAGACACTTCTACTAGTAGATGGCTCTATCAAAGGAAGATCCATATTCATTTCATGTCCAACACTTGTTTTTTTATTATTATTATTTTTGTTAAAAAAAAACACTTATCGACTAATTTGACTACAATACACATATATGAATTAGGCCAATGAAACTTATATATGCACATATGCATAAATACAAAGTCTACGACCAACTAACTAAATACTAAATCGTATCTGATGACCAAAAATACCAACCGTGTATAATATTTGCCTTAAGCGTGTTAGATCAGTTCCCATTAAAACAGTTTATTGTGAGTTAATTGGCCACTATCAAGGCCTAAAGTATTTTTTTACCAATCAAAGATTTTGTGGGAATTAACACACTTAATAAGCAAAGAAAAAAAAAATTAATGAAAGAGATGAGGAAGTAGATAAGTGCAAGTGAAAGGTAGGACGATGCTCTACGCGTCACGCATAGAAAATGCTGTCTGTATTAGCACCAACATTAACAACACGCAAGTGTTTGATCAATTCAATATACAATTTATATTTTTATGTACAAAAGTGTAAAAAAGCTTAGTTGAAGTTGACATTTTTTTTTGGGGGGGGGGTATTTTGATAAAGAAAATATTCTTGAATCTTGACCCCAAGTGCCGTACGAATAAAGGAGTCTCGAATTAAGTGGAAAAATCCTATTACTGAGTAGCAAACTTTTGAGTGATAAATATCAGTAATTAATTGCTGACATAATTATAGGGTCTTCTAATAATCAGTTTTATGAAGTATTATTTATTTGATTGGTGTTGTTTTCTTATTATTTTAAAAATTACAGGTTGATTATGTGCGAGTATGAATGGCTTTTGTGTACATAATCGGCTTTGGTGTGCATCAAGAGCCAAAACGTCAAACTTGGAACCATTTTCGCTGGTTTAACTTTATAAAAGTGACAAATGAAACGAAAACTAGTACATGATATTCTATAATTATGTCATGCAAAAGGTGGATTTTAGCCAAAAAGGAGGTTGATGATGTTGGGGCGCAGAAAGACTTTTGGACAATTTCAAAGTGTCTTTAAATGTTAAATGTTCTGCGACTTGGACGTTCTTTCAACCTTTAAACCCTCGTGCATTAGCTTAAAATCTAAAGAAACTTTCAAGTCTGTATAAACTTTATACATACATACATAAAACAAACATATATACGTAAGTGTGTAATTATATATATATATATATATATGCACACACACGTGTCGCTTCTTGATGCCAGTTAAGAGTAACACGTGGCCTCGTTTATTTCACTGATTCGAGTTTAGAATTCGAGTTTTACTACAGTAAAAAGCTCTCACAAACTATCACATCTAACTTTTTTGCTACAGTAAAAAGCTCTCACATAAAATCACATCTCAATTCGAATTAAAAACTCGAATCAGCGAACTAAACGGGCCAATGACCCCTAATATTTAGATTCTTCTGGTTTGGTATTTTAGGCAGTCGAGCCAGCAAATTTTGTTCGACCTTCCCAATTGAATAGAAAGAAAAAATATATATATATATATATATATTACTGGAAAAATACGTTTCCCCTTAGTTGTTGGTAAGTTATACAAGAAATGTAAAAGAATATACGAATATCTTACAATAACATAAAGCTGCTGTCATCTTGAAACCAAGCCACTTGGATAATTTGCCGTCATCAGTTGCTGCCTACTTTTAAAATGACAATTTATTTAGCTCCCCTCCAAAAAAAAGGACTAATTATGTGGTTCATAGAGAAATGAGTACATTTGTTAGGATTTTCTTTATGAGTTAGGAAACTCTCGAGTCAATTAGAAAAACTTTAGTTAATTTTTGTAGATGAACGAGTATGATTTAATTTTCGTAAAAACGTTTAATTGTAACTGAGGTGTGATTATCGACATGGCATAATGGTAAATCCACACTCACACTTTGAAGTGTAGAATTTAAATTTTAAATTAAAAAATCCTTCAATGGTAGTGTACTCACTCTCAAACCTGTGTGCTCTCGAGAAGCTAAAACCGTATTAGTTGGTGTCTTTAACAACAAATAATAATAATAACAATAATAATGAGATCAATAGCTTTGTTGATTTTTGTATGTTATTTATATATATGTTACTAATTGCTTTAGCTTTTCACAAATCAGTTACGCCTCGTTAATTCGAATTTTTAATTTGAATTGAGATGTGACATTTTATGAGAGTTTTTTACTGTAATAAAAAAAATTAGATATGACATTTTCTGAAAACTTTTTACTGTACAAATTTAAAACTGAAAACTCGAATCGGTGAAATGAACGAGGCCTAATTGCTTCCAACTTTAAAGTTAACTCCTCATTAATCAGGTTGGCACTTGGCGTACGTTTGCTTGCTTCTCTCCCCTTCCTTTACAATATTGTTTAGAAACCACTAGTAGAACAGTTTCTAGTATCTCATGGGAATTAAGATAAAAAAGGGAGGAAAAAAAAAATAAAAGAGAACAAAATTCGTCTTGTCCCAAAATGAACATGTTTTCTTTTACTCAGTCCAATTAGAAGTCCTATACGAGGGACCGATTAATTAAGAAATTAATTGCCCCCTCATTGCTCATAAAGGTTGGATATGATTAATTTGTTAAAAACAAAATGACCCATTTGAATAGACAAGCCCCCTTATCATTAGAATGATTTATTATAAACGACCAACAATAATAATTTACTATTTGCTAAAATAAATCATTAATTAAAAAAAAACCATTACCACATTCTATCCACCGGATCATATTATAAAATCAGATCAGAACAAGTTCAATTGCATATACATAGTTTTTTTTTTTAATTATTATTGTTTGGTACTCTAGCGCCTAGCTAGTATTTATCTGATAATGAGACTGAATCTTATTGCCTATAATATATCAGGAAAAATTAATCACAACTTTGTGAGAAAATCTAATTAATTACTTTGTAAATAGCGCCTACACGCGGTAGAGCCACGCTTTCGAAGAACTAGAAAGCACAAAAGTCACTTTTTTTCCTCCTTTTTTTTTTCCCTGATTAGGAATATAACCTAAATAAAGCGAATAAAAAAAGAAAGCCCATGAACAATGGACCAACCTGGCTAGTTAAAACATAAATAAAAATAAATAAATAAATAAATAATTTCAAATTTTAACTTCAAAAAGTCCCCATATAAAAATATGATTCGTCACTGATTTTCCTAACCTCTTCCTTCAAAAAAAAAAAAAAAAAACAGATTACGCAAAAAATCCTCCGCTATAATATCATCACTCATAGCCTTCTCTTCTCGAGTCTCTAATAAAATCTCTGATTTTTCCCATTAGAATTACTCCCTTTTTAGCCATGTTTTCCTCTTCGAAAAGGAAGAAAAAGAACTCGAATTCGTCGTCAGAATCATAGAGATTACAGATATTATCATCAATTCTTACATACCCACAAAAAAAAAAAAAAAGAGAATGGTTTTTCTTCCTTATCTTCTTCTTCTCTTTCTGGTAATCGTCTGTGGATTGGTTTTGGTCCGTATTCTTCTGTACAGAACAGGATTGGTTTACATCGTGAAAAAATGGTGGAGAGCTTTCGAGGACTGTTTCCATGTCTACCAAACATTCAAAGTCCCCGAGTTCAACGACGCCATGCAAGAGAATCAGCTATATCGCAGAGTCGGCGATTACCTCAATTCCTTGCAATCCGTCGAGGATTCCGATTTCACCAACCTCGTCGCCAGCAAAAGGCCCGGCGAGATCGTCCTCAAGCTCGATCGCAACCAGAGAATCGAGGATTTCTTCCTCGGAGCGAAATTGGTTTGGCTGAACGAAGAGAGAGGAGAGAGAAACGCATCCAGAAGCTTCGTTTTGAAGATTCGGAAGGCCGACAAGCGGAGGATTCTGCGGCCGTATCTGAACCATATTCACGCCGTCGCCGATGAGGTCGAGCAGAGGAAGAGGGATTTGAAGCTTTACATGAACCTCGGAGGAGGAAATCTCTGTGATCGTGGCGGCGGACGGTGGAGATCGGCGCCGTTCGCGCATCCGTCGACTTTCGAGACGATCACCATGGAAGCCGATCTCAAATCGAAGGTGAAATCGGATCTCGAGAATTTCGTCAAGGCGAAACAGTATTACCACCGGTTAGGCCGTGTTTGGAAGCGGAGTTATTTGTTGTACGGACCTTCCGGTACCGGAAAGACGAGCTTCGTCGCCGCCATGGCGAATTTCCTCGGATACGACGTCTACGATCTCGATCTCTCCAGAGTCACCGACGACTCCGATCTGAAAATGCTGCTGCTGCAGACGACGAACCGGTCGGTGATCGTGATTGAGGATCTTGATCGGTTCTTGATCGCGAAATTGACGGCTGTGAGCTTATCGGGCGTGTTGAATTTCATGGACGGCCTGCTTAACTCGTGCTGCACGGAGGAGAGGATCATGGTGTTCACGACGAACGGAAAAGACGATATTGACCCTGCGATTCTCCGGCCGGGTCGGGTCGATGTGCATATCCATTTCCCTTTGTGTGACTTCGTTGCGTTCAAGAACTTGGCCAATAGCTATTTGGGTCTAAAGGAGCACAAGCTTTTCCCCCAAGTGGAGGAGATTTTCCAAAGCGGGTCGAGTTTGAGCCCGGCCGAGATTGGGGAGCTTATGATGGCGAACCGCAACTCACCCAGTCGGGCCATCAAGTCCGTCATCTCCGCGTTGCAAACAGACGGTGATGGGAGGGGCGTGGGGAAGATCGGACGGAGGTTGTGCGACAATGGGCCGATGAGCTTCTCAGAGGAGCCGGGTTCACCCGCCGGAGCATTTTTTGATGGGGTCCATCCGGTAAAGGATATCCGTAAATTGTATGGATTTTTGCGGGTGAAGAGCAACAGAAAACAAGCTTTTGATGCGGGTTCGGGTCAGAAGAGTGGTTGATCCGATTTTACTTTCGAATTTGTTAGTACATGTCAAATTGCCATTTTGGGGGGCCAAAGGTCAACGGCTAGAATTCCTATAGCAAAAGGCTATTGTTTATGGCTTAGATCAAAAGCTTTTTTTGTTAATGAACAAAATTTAGATTGTGATAGTGTCATTCTTCTTGTTATCTATTTTGGTAGTTTTAGTTTTAGGAATGTTTTGCCCGTCGGCTTTGTAAATTGGAAGATTAGATAATCTTGATAAATACTATTTAAAAATATACGGGTCAAAACTTTTATCTTTTATTTTTTATTTATAATCTTTTTAATTAGATAATTACATTAATAAAATGGTACTAGAGTAAGAATAAAAAGTAAAGGTTGAGATTCATGAGGACATTCTCCATTTTTTCTAGAAGGATTAGCTTGATGATTAGCAGGAAAGCAATAGATAATTAAGGCGAGCATCCACATGAGTATTATTTTTTTTTATTCCATTTCATTTTATTTGGTTGTCAATTTGCGATTGTGCTTATCATTGGGGTTTTGTTTTCTTATTTATTTTCTTTAACACAAAGCATGAATCAATGAACAATGGATGACAGTAATAAAATAAGCAAGGTTTTGGAGTATAATTCAATTGCTGAGGTAAGTTGATAGCAACTAGAGAGAATAGATGCACACAAGGAAGTTTAAACAATAAAAATAAATAAAAATAAATAAAAAGAAGAAAGTTTCTCATGGTGGAAACTGAAAAACTGAAAGGAAAAAACTCTCTTGGCTTATGAAACTTCATGTGAGTTGTGACTAAAGACCAGAACTTGGTTTTGGTTGTATGTTATAAGAGTAATGATATTCCCTTTTCTCCATCTCTGAATCAAAAAAAGGCTGTTCTGGACTTTCCTGCTCTCATCATTGGTGATGATGATGTATTTTTGGCCCTTTCTGTCTAAACTTATATCATCCTTGGCCCAAATTGAGGCAGAAAAAGAAACAAAGTGGAAAAAATAAAAAATAAAAGGACATATAATTCATTCACAAGTCAAGGGTCAAGGCCGATAATTGCACGGCTACTGAATAAACACGCTTTTCAGCTGTTGCCTGAGATTCTAGCTTGTGAAAAATTTTAAAAAAAATAATTCAAGTTATAATTTTATTTGAATTTATGTTCTTTTAAGTTTAAATTCGAATTTAAATTCAAGTTTATGACTAAAATTTGAGTTCAAGTTTCTACTTCAACTCAAGTTCAGAAACTCGAACTCAAATTAATGAACAATATTTTTTCTATTTTTTAAAAATACTATAACTTTTTCGTTTTAATTCTGATTGAGATGGTTTTTTTTTATCCGTTAACAATGAAAGAACTAATAAAACACGACTCACATACCCCATTAAAATTTTTCATCAGCATTGAGTTTTTATTAAAATACTATTTAAATACAAATTTAAGTTTTGACTTACTCAAACACAAACTTAAAAAGATTCTTATCTCAAACCATAACTCAAATGTACACAACTAAACACAAACTCAAATTACAAGTTCAACTCAAATTATAACTCAAATTCAACTCAATAATTATATTCAAATTAAACTCAAAAAGAACAGGCCTTCAATTTGTCATTTCACCATGTCTGGTTTGCAACCGTGCTCATGAATAAAGACCCATTTGGCAGTTCATAAAATGAAAACTTAACAAAATATTCTCCAGCAAAAGAATTGAAAAAAATAAAAAAAGATAGAAGAAAGGAGACAGCCCAACTTGACTTAGCTTGTGTTGATATGCATTTGTATGGACCCAAATGATGTTGGGAAGGAACATTGGCATTTGCCAATTTGAGCAATTTCAGGTGATAATTGACTGAGAAAAGTAGAATGGCTATAATTTCGCAGCTAAAAAGACAGTTTAAGAATTGGATGCTCTATTCTTTATTAGGAGAAATGTTACAAATTCCTCGTGCCTTTTAAATTTTAAAACGTATTTATTGCGTCTCTTCATGTATAATACTTCTATAAATTTACTCCCCCTCCCCCACAGCTAACTTTAAAACTTGCTATTTTTTTTTTTTGGACGAAACTGTAGAGTTTTCGTTTGGTTTAAGCTTAAACGGAACATTTATGGTTAATGCATGTCTTTTACTCTAAATAAATTAGTTAGCACCAAATCTAAGATATATTTTCTCCTTAATTAGAGTAGCTACTCAAAAGCAAGAAAACAAGAAGGAAAAAAATGGAGAACAGGCCAGAATTCAATTGGGTTAGTTAAGAGTTTAATAAAATTGATAAATTTGACATTCTCACGTAAGTCGCACGTACTAGTGTGTCTAAAAAATAGCACATTTTAAAGTTTGATAGTGAATTTGGAGACATTATATTATAGGTGAAAGTTTAGGTCGGGTCAAACGGGTCAGGCCGAAGTCCTAAACTGTTGGCTCGATCCTAACTCGACTCAACTAGCTCAAGTGTTCGGGCAACTCAAAATCTTATTCGAGTCAGACCCTTTTTCAAAATAAATTTTCTTAAGAAGTACCTTATAATTTTCGGCTTCGGCTGGGCCGACCCTCGTTATTTTAAGGGCCGATAATAACGAGTCGGATTGGACTAAAATTCTCATTTGGGCTTAGACCGGACGGTCTAAACATTCACCTCGATACAATCATCAGGGTGCACAACAAAGACTTTTCAAGTTTTGAAGAATTCATAGAATTTATCCTCTTTACTATGAAAAGCAATAATATAAAACAGAAAACAAACAAGAATGCATAAGATTTTTATTAATGTGAATGTTATGTTACTAATTTCATCATAGTAAATAAAAAGATTACAAGATGATCACGCACGGCTCATGTTTCACAATTTGTCCGTGTTTTTCTTGATTCAAGTGCAAATACTGCATGATATTTAGGCTCTACATACTTAAACAAATAAATGGCCAATTATTACACATAGACATAGCAACCGGTGCCGCTATCATTATCTTATTGTTATAAAATAAAATATTATTATACTATTATTCTTTGGGATTACAATAAGGCCCCGTACTTTTTTTTTTTTTTATACCACTTCTGACTCGCCGCTAATTATGACCTTTTCTTTGCATGAAATTATTGCTCGATCTCTTCGAATACATCAACAGTTTACGACCTCATGATTCAGTTGTTCTTGAAACTGAGATTCAGGCATCGTTTATTCGAGTTTAGAATTTAAATTTTATTATAATAAAAAAATTTTATAAATAATTACATTTAATTTTTTTATTGTAATAAAAAATTCTCACATAAAATCACATCTTAACTCAAATTAAAAACTCTAATTAACGAATTAAAAAGACTCTTAAAATGTTCTAATATCAATTATTGTTCCATCTGTTTCTTCTCCTTTTCTTTTAATAATGTTTTTTTTTGAAGGATTTTAATAATGTTTTGGCATCATTCTTTACTTTCTTTTCCCTTGTATATTAGAATAACGAACCTTAGCATTCACGTCTGCAATTATGGGCCAAGACATTAATGTCAATTGGGAGAGAAAAGTGCAATAATGAATATATATGAGGTATGTTCGGAGTCAGTCCAGCTGGCCGTGTTTCAAATTCTCCACTGAGATGCCTAAAATGGATATGGACCAATCTCCATCGCTAGCTAGAATCAAGAAGCCACTTTTTTTCGCCACCCTGTATACGTTCTACAATACCAGAAACACACACACATATATACACGTATGCATGTACGTAGGTATATATATTCATGTACCTTGTCATTGTAACATGTGCTTATTTTGAAAACATCATGCTTTGTTAATTTTACCAATCTAAATTTTCAGTTTTAAGTTTTTACATTTAAAAACTCTCAGAAAATGTCACATTTAATTTTTTCTGCTACAGTTAAATTTTTTTAAAAAATATCACATCTCAATTCGAATTAAAAGTTTGAATCCATAGACTGAAATTCTGAAGTATTTCTATATGGGAAGCTTCGACACACCGCAGTCTAGTTGTTGAGGGACAACGAATTTTAGAGCTAAGATATTGTTGGATTTACACATAATAAATGTTTAAGAAAAAAGTTGGTTTTTTGTTTTTTTGCTTTAATAAAGTTGGGTTTGATCCCGGAATATAATGCTTGAATACTCGATTACAATAAAGGGTAGTTGTACTGGCTTTTGGAATAGGTTTTGGTGTATATATACACGCACATATATATATATATGTATGTATATATATATATTCGTATTTTTCGACAATAATGTATCAAATTACAGACTGGTGTAGGAAATGAAGATCATGGAAACTCTCTTTTTTGTTATTTGCAACGCAATGAACACGACAGCTTTTATTATCGTAAATTGTCAAAATAAAAGTTAAATAAAAGAAAGAATATAATAGATTCACTGTAGTTCTGTGATGTGTCCATATCCACACATGTATGAAGAACAAGGAGAAAATCTACTAATAAGGACCACTATAAAAGATCTCTATATAAATACAAAATACAAATCCAAAATCGTGTAAGGTACTTACCACTGTCAAATTCCCTAAAACCAAGAGTTTTGAAAAGTTTGAACGATAGATTATGCTCTTGGAATATAAAGCTTGAAAATGGATAAGAAATTGACGAGAAAAAGGATCACAGGAGTAGTTCCTATAGTTTCAAATCATAGTCTCGGATTAGTTGTATGAATATCTCTTTGAATCTTATTTTAGATTTGACTCAATGCATACATACTTTAAATTTTTACCCTTTTGTAAAATTGCATAAAAAATTTACAAAAGATTTTTTAAAGTGATGAAAAAGAATTTTGACATCAAATTTGGTCTTAGGTTTATTGACATCAATTTGTTGGACAAAAATTGTGCTAACATTGACCAGTAACTCGATGGGTTACTTGAGTCAACCGGTGGGCTATTGAACTCTGGAGTGGTAGTGGCCTCGGTCACCACTGGTCGACCGATACCATTCAAACGTCTGTATTGCTCATCAGAGCGATAAAGCTATAGAGAATGTCGTTGGAGAGGGGACAATGGCGGTAGACTATTTTGTTTTGTTTTTTTATTTTTATTTTTTGTGAGAGTCATTACGGTGTTACTCATTGGAGTGATAAAGATTAAAAAAAAAAAAAAAATCGCTAGTATAAATCGACTCCATATAAATACATATTACTAGAATCAGATAAATTATCCAACAATATCAAATATACTAATATCCACATATTTTCTAATATGATAATAAACACAAATCAATTATTCAAAATTATTTATAAAAGTAATTACATACCAAATGCTAACTTTCCCTAATGCATGTCATATTAGTTTTTATTCTTTATTAGTAGATTTAAGAAGTTATGTTGATTAACATTAAGTTACATTCACTTATGGAAAAGTCTTTTTCAACTCTAAAAATGTGACAATTCACCTCTCACTGAGGTGAAGTTGGAATAAAGTTTGAGATATGTATCATTGCTCTTAAAAAAATTGAACAACCTCTTGAAAGAAAAAAAAAAAAAAGAAAAGAAAAAGAAGAAAAAGAAATTGAACAAGGCAGATTGTTTTACTCATGAATTCCCACTTTATTATTATGAATGCACGGTTGGTGTATGTACATATATTGTACCTAAACAAACGTAAAGTTCGAGTACGTAACCAAAAATATCTTTTAGTTCTCAATTTCTAGACCAAAAGAGTGCTAAAGTCACTAGCGACTTCTCTTTTCCACCTTAGTTTGGAAGAAAACATGTCATTAAAGTTCCTTGGTTAATTATCACCACCAACAACATCTAACATTGTGATCGTATTAGGACCCGTTTCAGATGATGAAAGATGTTAAGATGGCCCAACAAATGTCACCACCAACACATTGAACCAAAAAACTAAAGAAAATTTCTTCTTAAGATCGCCATGCCCTCATGCCCATGCTTTAAGATCTTCCTCATGTACCAGCGTTGCCTCGAAATTAGGGCACATATTGGCCTACTTCACCATCCCCCACACATAAATAGTACTCAAGAAACGTTTCTGAAAAAAAAAAAAGTTTTAGAGGTAATTGGTTTAAGGTCCTTTTATCGTGGGGTCTCATAGATCTCTTTTGTGGCCGCGGGATCTCATCGAAATCTAAATTATAATAAAAATATACATAGAATAAATAATTTTTTATATATATTTGACAGTTAAAAAAAAATTTCTATCGATATTTTTTTTGAGCCACACCCTAGAAATTTCCATTTGTTTAAAGGGAGAAAGAACTAAATAATGTTTAGGATTAGTCCCATAAACTTTAGGTTTATTTCTACTTTGCCCCTTAAAGTTTGAATTTGTATCATTTAAACCCTTTTATAAGAATTTATTTCAAATTCAGACGAAAAAAAGGATTAAGTGTGGTTTTGTGGTTTTGATCTATTTGTTTTTAACAGAAATACCACATAATTGTTACTCTCTTTTTTTCTATATGTTTTTTAACATAAATTACAACTAATAGGATTAAGTGGGAACAATTAAAACTTCATGAGGCAAAGTGATAGTTTTAAAGTTCGGGAGACAAACCGAGAATGACCCTAAAGTTCAGGATGCACTAATAATAATAATCCTAATATTTATAATTAGGGACTTTCTCCAATAGGCCTACTTACCGAAAGCACTAGTTTCCGACCTTTAAATCTGGTCAAAATCACATCAGTTAAAAAAGTATGCAATACGAATAATTTCTGATATAAATTTAACAGCTGAAAAATAGATAACTAACAATTATTCATTTTTTCTCATCATACCAAAAAAACTCTCTAATAATTAAAGTAAATAATAGGTTTTAACATACTTGGAGTAAATAGCAAATTTATTAATTAAATCACTGTTTTACCTCTAGTGAGTAGATAATTTATCTTGTAAATATTCTACTTAAGACAGTTGCTATTTATTCAAATATTTTTAAAACCTCCTCTTGTAAAATATTACTTAATATAATTTCCATACGAGGATTAGTTGATTCTAAGGCCCTTCTTTCATAACAGAGCACAAAAGAGCACTTTCATCCATCTTAAGGTCAACATTTTCTGTTAACGTCCCAATTTTCTCACCAAGAGTCGTAAAAAAAACAAAAATAAAGAAAATAAATACTCTTTAAAATGTATAAATCTGAATTTTTATCTTATTCTTAATTAATATTATTTTTAATCAAATAAATATATTAATTAAAATAATATTAATTAATAATAAAGAATAAAAATTTAAATTTATACAAGAAGTTTAATAATTTTTTGTTCTTTTTTTCCCCAAAAAGAAACTTCACAATGTAGGCCTAGAAAGATTCCTTGATGAGCCTTAACTCTCTATGAACAACACAAAAGGCTCATCCACAAATGTCTCTCTCTATCCACTTTCAACAAGCCCAAAAAGAGAAAATCCATAAATAAAATAAAAAAACAAATTAGGAAGTAGTAAAGTACAGTAGAAATAGAATGTAGATCAACATGAGCAAGTGGATAATTTCTTCATCTCACTTATTTCCAAATCAGAGCCAGGAATGACATCAATCTTGGAACCTTGAAGAACCGCAGGATCAGAACCGTTGAGTTTGCCATTATTACTCCCACATTCCAAAGCCTTCTTAGAAACGACGCCGTATATCTCTTCAAGTACTCTGAAGAAGGCAGCGTCCACGTTGTCACCACTGAGAGCAGAAGTCTCCGAGAAGAAGAGGCCCTGATCCTCTGCGAACTCCACAGCGTCTTCCGTTGGAACCGCACGCAAGTCCACCAGATCGGCCTTGTTCCCTATCAGCATTATCACGATCGAGTTGTCCGAGTGGGCCCGGAGCTCCTCCACCCACCTCGCCACGTGGTCGAAGCTCTGTCGTTTCGTGATGTCGTAAACCAGCATTGCCCCTAATGCGCCTCTGTAGTACGCACTTGTAACTGCTCTGTATCTACGTTTGAAACCCAGATACCAAAAAACAATTAAATAACCGATCACAACTTTAACGAGTCACGAACCATGATTCAAATCATAACACGAATCCTCATTCTAAATGTAATTCAAATTTAGAATTTAAATTTTATTATAATAAAAAACTCTTAGAAACAGTCATATTTAATTTTTTTATTATAATAAAAAACTCTCATATAAAATTACATCTAAACTTAAATTAAAAACTCGAATCAGTAAACTAAACGAGCCCCACATATCAATTCATATAAATAATATAGAGGCTTTTTTACTTCTCATAATTCTCACCAAGGTAATATTTAACACTAATTTTATCAAAAATTTAGCATTGATACGTAATTATCACGATACTTATCGGGTAAGTTAATCGCGGTAAAAATGAATAACGCTACTCTTTCTATCCATGCTAACAAAAAATAAAAATAAAAAAAAATAAAAAACCAATGCCAAGATGGTATCTAGTATTGAGACAAACTTTATACAATAGTATCTATCTACTTCTACCTAATTAAAAAAACAACAGCGAGATGATTTTCAGCATTAATACATGCTTCATATACTAACACCTATTTACCTAGTTAAAAAACTAATTGTGATCAACTCATATCTAGCCTTAGTGAGTGACATGACTGAACCAATATTACAATATGATTTATATGCCAACATAATTCATATATATATATATATATATATATTATTTTGGCTCATTAGTAATATATTACTTTTTTTGTCTCGGATTTCCTTCTCAATATTTGCACATCAAGCGTTGAAACTTCTATTCCTTGGCTCGTGATTAATTTACAAGTGTGTGAGCAAACACTGTCATTTCTACTCAAAATAGAATCACAGATTAGACATGATATGATAATCCTAAACCTTCCATCATTGATCACACCATTAATCCACAGTATCCAAACTTAAGCAAAATAGAGAGAGAGAGAAAAAGAAAAGGAGTGAGAGAATCAAGAGAGAGAGAGAGAGAGAAATATTAGGAACCTTTCTTGGCCGGCAGTGTCCCAGATCTGAGCCTTGATGACTTTGCCCTTAATGTTGACAGTCCTAGTCTGAAACTCAACACCAATAGTTGACTTTGAGTCAAAGCAAAACTCATTTTTAGTGAACCTTGAGAGTATCTGAGTTTTCCCAACAGCAGAATCTCCGATCACCACCACCTTAAAAACATAATCAATTTTCTGATCATGCCCATTTTCACTCTCGGTCCCATTCATTTCTTGGTTCATTTTCTCACTACCCAAAAAGAAAAAAAAAAAGAAAGAAAAAACACTAATAATATTCTTTCTTACGGTTCTCCTTTATGCAAAGTATATAACATTGAACCTTGTTTTTGGTCTCTGGGAGTTTTAAGTGGGAGCTAGTGAAGGAAAAGGACAAAAAATTGGAGAAAGAAGCAGACAGGACACGGTTTTAAACAGGAAAAGAAGGCTAGAAATGAATTATAGGTCCAGTCATTGTCTCACCTTTAAAGCTTTTTGTTATAGTGGGTGGCTTCCATTCCATGCATTTTTTTTTTAATGATTTTGGTTTAATGTTTTTCCATAATTTGGGGACTAAAACTTCTTTGAAAAGCCATTAAAGTTTGATAACCGGGATTGGTACTAGGATTTATAATTAGTCATTGTAAGTAACCAGCGTAAGCACTCCTAAAGAGCTAAGTTCTGTGGCGCAATCTACGGGATTATTGTTTTTTCTTTTCTCTTCTGTTTCTTTTGATATGGCGCAAGTGCTAATGCTACTACATTATATGTTATTGTTTTGGATAACTTTATTGTGGAAGCATCCCACCATAAGACAATAGTCATGCATGGAGTCTCTTATGATTAAACCCTCACTCAAATCTTTTATTTTCAAAAATTCTATTTACATATGAATATGTATTGTATTAAGTAATGTACATATAACCCCACTAAAAATATAAAAATTAATCTTATAATTCTCATTAAGTTTTTGTTTTAGTTAATTAATTCCATTGATAAAAAATTTTAATTTCGTCGCTGCCGACAGTCATGAAGTGAATGAGGCTATAGTGTCTAACGGAATCTTTGTTTGATAATCCCATAAGATGTGTACAATTTGATTTAATTTTTACCATCATGATAATGATACAATATGCTTACTGTAGGGTGCCCCACATAGAATCCCTCATGATTATAAGGAGTTGTGAAAGTTGATTTCATAATTTAAAGCAAAAGAGAATGGTCCTTTAATTTGAAGCTAAACTCGCCCTTCATAAGAACTCGGAACTAATAATAGAGGGAAAATTAAGTGGGGCACTATGTCATTTCATCTTAGGCGGTTGGATTAGGTATGTTATGTCGCATGCTTTTTAATTACCTTAATCAAATACCCAACTTCTTTTCAAAAGAGTATCATCTATCGGCACAGGTTTGTTTTTGCTTTCTTGTAATAATTCATTTAGTGGACGTTTAATTTATAGATTTAAAATCATGATTCAAAATCATTCTCGATTTACATTTATTTTTTGTGAGAAAAAATGTTATAGCGAATCACGAACCATGATTCGAATCATGACACGAATCTATCAACCAAATGCACATTTAGTACAAGCTAGGAAGCGTTGAGAACTTATCATTTAGTTATTTACTACCAAAAAACACCAACAAATGTCACTATTTGCCTTATGAAAGTGGGCGAACGCTTACTTATATACATGGGTTCTTATTGAAGCGATTTTCTAATCTAGTCCCAAATTCTAAAACAATTATATAATGGGTTTCTGGTTTGTTCTCTGAGTTTCACTTAAAAATCAATTCGACAGAGTTTCTGTGTCTGAAAGTGAAACGAGAGTAAAATTTCATCGTTTTACTCAGTACGAATCTTACTCCCACAAGTCTAAAATGACATTTCATCAGGAGTTGGGGCCGTATTTCATGCATTACTGTGGGAGGACATGGACCCAACCCAAGTATATTTCCGTGCGTTCCCTGGCAATCTCGTATAGTCCCTGACCCTAGCAAACAATGTGTGGACGTTTTAAAGAAATGTTTAAGCCCGTTCGGTTCGTTAATTTGAGTTTAAATGTGATATTGTGTGAGAATTTTTTACTGTAATAAAAAAAATAGATGTGACTGTTTCTGAGAGATTTTTACTGTAGCAAAACTCGAATCAACGAAAAGAACGAGACCTTAATTTGTTAATTTAAATTTTTAATTTAAATTGGGATATAATTTTATATTATAATTTTTTACTATAATAAAAATATTATATATAATTATTTTTAAAATTTCTTTATTATAATAAATTTAAATCGATAAAATAAATATGACCTAAATATAATCGTGTGTAATTAAGTTGTCGTCCTATTTCCTAATGTTTTGCACCGACAAAATTTGTCCTATGACATTCTTGTGGACGATAAGGCCCACATACTCTACGAAATGTTCAAATCAATAGAGGGGAACACAAACCAAGGCAGATATGGTATTAAATTACATAAAAGAGAAAAAAAAAAGATAAAAAAAAAGGAAAAAAAGACGAAGGTATTAAATTTTTCATTGAGGCGTTTTAGTGGGACTGCCATTTTTTTAATCTTTTAATAATAGAAATCTGATCGATCCCGAGTTAATGTTTTGACATTGCAGATCACTTGGTACTAAATTTATCATTGAGATGTAATTATTTGAATGATCGTAAACAATCATAATAGACTTGGAAATAAAATCTATGGCCTAGATCATTCAAAACGGGTTTCTCTTGTCTACCAACGCTTATAAATATGGTGATGAGTGGGAGAAAGGTTTTTTTTCTTCTTCTTCCTACATATTTCATGTGTTGATCTTTTGTTAACGTGTGCATTGGACATAGCGCTGAAAGTGCAGGTCATTCAGACTCGGCGGCCCAAATAGGATTTTCGGTCCGTACCCGACCTTTTATTTAAATCGGTACAATCTAGCCATGTTTTATAGGGAGGAGGATCGGCCCAATTTAATTCTAAATCCTGAGAGGTTACGATCAGGAGATTTAAAAAATAATAAGTAAAAAAAAAAACACTTTGGGCCAGCTCGGTCTAAAAATACTTAAACTTAAACTATCAATCTGATCCATACAATAAAACAATACAAGATTGGGACCATAATAACGTGCTCCAGCCTAGTCTATTAGTCCAACCTAAATTTATAGCTCCTCTTATTTACATACTCTTTTATAGCATATTCTTTTAACGTTGCTAAATTTTAGTAATTTTGAATTCTCATTCTAAAATAATATCATTTTCAAATTTACCCATACTTATAGGGTTTCATTTCTTTTGTTTATCACTTAGTCAATCGCCTCTATCAATCTCTCTTTTTGTCACAGGGTCTCCACCGCCGTTAGTGGTCGGTGACCGGTAAATACTATATTTACACGTAAATACGGTAGTCAACTGTTGCGAGATCCGCATGTATGGGTAAATACAATAGTTACTAGTTGTTAGTGCTCGTAAATTCGGTATTTACTGGCCATCAGTGTCTATACCACTGTCGGCGTTTGTATTTATAGGTAAATATGGTATTTATCAGTCTTTAGAGTTAACTACAAGTGACTGATAAATACTATATTTTTAAGTAAATATGATATTTACAAGTAAATAGTATTTACCAATGCTATATTTATAAGTAAAAATATGGTATTTTCTAGCCTCCTGTGCTAACAGCTAGTGACCGTTAAATACTGCATTTTCATATAAATATGTTATTTACAATTAAATACCATATTTATCATAGAGGGGAAGGAGAGAGTGGAGTTGCAAGGAAAAAGAATTTAGGAGTATTTTTGAAGTTTTAATATGCTATTTCACTCGCGGTGTAAAGAGCCGAAGCAGGCCAGCCCATCAAAAGTCAATCACGGCTCTGCCCTTGCCCTTTCCTTCATAGCCCATTTGTTAGTAGAACCTGGCCTAATTTGGGCTTATATATGGACCTTGTATTAAACGGGTTGAACCGGCCTTGCTTAAACCACTTTATTACACTGCACAACTTTGAGAAAATTATTAAATATAAGTCTAAATTTTTACTCTTTATTTTTAATTAATACATTTTATTTAATATAGTATTTAATTAAAAGGGTATTAATGAAGAGTAATAAGTAAAAATTAAGATCATGCAATCTAAAAGAGTATTTATCTCTTTTTCTCTCACACTTTTTATTTCTAAAAAAAATAAAATAAAATAACCCTGTGGAATGCAAAAAGAATTAGACATATTATAACTTTTGTCACTTCAATAATAGAGTTTTTTTTTTTTTTTTTTACCAATTCAAAATGTTAACAAAAAGCTGCAGAAATCCTAACTCATATTAAATTTTGTGGCATACTACCTAATTTTCTTATATATCCAAGTAAAAGACATTAGAAAGCTTGTTTCTTTACCTTTAAAAAAAAAAAAAAAAAAAAAAAAAAGTTCCTTCAAAAATTATTTTCTTTTTTTAAAAAACGAAAAAAAAAAAAAAGGACTGCTCCTTTAATGATTAAGAAGACAACCTTTTTGGGCCACAGAAAGTAACAACTCAGTTTGGCTCCAAGAATACATCTACCACATTTAACTGCTCGGTCTGAATAAAAAATATATATATATATAAAAAATTATAAATTATGATTCAAAATTAAAAATAAATACAAAAATAAACGTTTGCATCTCATTCGTGTAGTAAGTTTTAGTGGCTGAAACTATCCTTATCTCTTGTCAAAATGAGACCAATTCTACAACTACAGAACAACAGCAACAATTAGCACACAACTTCCCTCTCCATGGACCCTCTTTCAAGCTCAGTTTCAACCCTCAAAGTCCCTACCCTCCACTCAACCACATCTCGTCATGAACTGCTCACTCATTTCAAGACCACCCCATCAAAAAACCTCCCCTACTCATCACTCCTCCCCAACAAGACCCCCACTTTCACCACCCAAAACCCCTTCACTCCCTCATCCTTCTCCTCAACATCTCCGACCCGGTCTCTCACCGCGCCATCGCCGTCGCCACGGCCCCCCATCCACCACCGAAACCCCGCCACCGGGTACGCGGCGGCTCTCCTCGACGTAGCGCAGGCAAACAATTCAGTTGACTCGGTGGGCCGAGACGTGGAGAGGCTGCTGAATTTGATGAGGAACAAGAGGGTTGAGGCGGTTTTGGGGAGTGCCTTTGTGGGGGAGAAAGAGAAAGGACAAGTGGTTAAGGACTTGGCCGAGAAGGGAAGGTTTAGTAGGCATTTGGTGCGTTTGGTGAAGATGTTGGTTGACAAAAAAAAAGACGTTGGAATTATAAGGCAAGTTTTGGAGGAGTTTGAAAGGGTTTATGATCAGATGTTGAGGACTCAAGTGGTTTTGGTTTCTTCGGCAAAAAAGATTGAGGAAAATAACATGTTTTGGATTGCCAAAAGGGTGCAAACACTCACTGGGGCTCTCAAGGTCAAGGTGAGGAATTTGGTTCGTCATAACTCGCTTTCCTTTGCTGTGTAAAGAGCTTGTTTTTATGTATAAATGCAGAAATTAACAGATTATATACGTGGGGTTATCTATATATGTACAATGTTACAATCCACTTAACTCTTTCAAATCCCATGTCTGAATTTGTTAAATATTATTTGTTATAATTAAGCTCGTGGCTACATCTTCCATTTTTCGGTAGTTGATTTCAGTTCTGTCAAGTATTTTCAGAATTTTATTTGGTTTGAAGAAATACGATAAGTACTAATAAACTTGGCAGGTAACTAACACGAGACTGATTTTTATCACTTCAAGTGCAAACCATATTTATCACGATTATTATTATTATTATTATTATTGTTATTATTAGTAGTAGTATTATTGTTATTGTTACTGTTATTGTTATTATTGTTGTTATTATTATTATTGTTATTATTGGCTAGAAATAGCACGATTAAGTTCAACCTAACAAAGAAATCATTTATGTACCAATATTTATATGTCACAATCAATTCAATAAATGCTTGTGGCACCAAAACAGCATTTAATTAGAGTCTTTCTGCCTTCTTACTTTTATTGCGAAATTCTCAGTGGGATGGTATCCAGTGTAATAAGATCATTGATCAGACAGCATTTATCAATATAACGGTGGTCCGGCCCGTATTTCTGTCCGACCTAGCCCATATTCACAACACTAGAGGCTCCATGAGGTGGCACCATATAATTCCTCTTAATTTGTTCTTGTTTTTTTTTTTTTTTAATATTGACTTGCAAAAGGATTAATTATGAGACATGAATCAGTTCAAAAAATAATCAGGACTATTGCAGATGTGAGAAGAATGGAAGGTCAAAACGCCATGCAATAGAGTCATTTTTATTTTTATCCTTTAACGTTAGTTCATATATTTTTTATTTTTTAAATTAGAAGTAGTTAAAGGGTAGAGTTTTGTGTAAATTTGTTCACAAACCAAGTATACAGCGGGATCTTGTTTAAATTTATTCAAGCTGTCTAATCAGTTGCTAAGCTTTAAGCTTCAAAAAATTAATTAATTTGTTTGACACCAATTAATACTTAATATCGGTCGCTATTTCATGATGGAAGACAAAAGTTTCAAATGGACAAACTAATTTGTTTGTTAATTTCATGGTAATATTAGTAGAATAGGTATAGGCTAGGCCTATGGGGTTAGCAAAAATACTTGAATATATGAGAAGTATCTCTTTCCCATGATATTACATGATAATCTAGTTTATCTTTTTTCAAACAAACATATATAATGAACTTGGATTGGAATATGTATTTATAATACTAAACCACAGTCGATTTGCTGCCATGTGTCGGATCAATTTGCACTGTGTAATTTGTTTCTAAGATGTTGGAAATTTTTAACTATAAAGTAAAATAAAATAAAGAAATTTGACTAGCTAATAATATTTATGTCATCATGGATGACAACATCGAACATCAATTCATATATATGAACAGCCAATGACTATGATCCAAATCTCAGCCAGCAAAATTACTTTTTGTGAAGAATATTATTTATATTTGTCATCATCTTTTGGCCGTCACATATGCTTTTGTGAATCCTAAGCTGGAACACGCAGAGGTCACAGCTGTATAAGAAATAAGACATCGAGAAAATAGTTACCTTATTAAGAGATAGTAAAAATAAGTCGATACGAAAAGTTTAAGAAAGTATATAGATTAATTTTTAATTATAAAAATTAATAGGTCATAATTTATTAAGTTATAGTTTATAATTAGATAAATTATGAATAAATTTATCAAATTATGATTCATAGTCATATAAGTTATAGACAATTATGGATAATAACTTATCAAGTTATGATTCATAACCAGATAAATTATAGACGAAACAGTAATTTAATCTATTTATTAACTTATATAAACTATTAACCTATTAATTTTAATTCATCTCAAATCTTTATCAATTTTCCTCTTTCTCCCCTTATTATATTTGTCATCATCTTTTGGCCGTCACATATGCTTTTATGAATCCTAAGCTGGAACACGCAGAGGTCACAGCTGTATAAGAAATAAGACATCGAGAAAATAGTTGCCTTTTTTTTGCACCTCAGAACTAGTCAACGTTTGATTATCAAAAACCCAAGTCAAAGTTACTTGTGGACCTATGTAATATTATATAGATATATGCCCAGTGGGGAAAATAAGCGAGAAAGGGCGAATATAATTTTAAATTTTAAGATTTAAGAAAAGGTGAACATATATATGGGTCCGTTCATTTCATTGATTTGAGTTTATAATTCGAGTTGAGATATAATTTTATGTGAAAATTTTTTACTGTAGTAAAAAAATTAGATGTAATTGTTTCTGAATACTTTTTACTGTAGCAAAATTTAAATTCTAAACTCGAATCGGTGAAGTGAACGGACCCATAATCTCTAGAAGAGAAAGGAGAAAAACTATAAATTTTAACAAAAATAACTCCGTCTACCCTCAATAGCTCTGTCTTTGTGTGTGTGAGTGAGACCTACATGATATAGAAGTTGGATCTAAAATGAGGAATGAGCACCTTGCGTCATAACAAAACATCTAAAACAACAACATTTGTAAAAAGGAACTAAATCATGGAATCAATTCTTATATCTCATATTTCATGTACTTTAATCATATTATGTTTGTCAATTAAAATTTCATATCACGTCAATTAAAAAATCATGTCAATTAATTGACAGGTTAAGATCTTATTAGAAGGATTCGAAAGAGGACCAAAAAAAAAACATATGAGCTTAATATGCCAAACTATAGTCCTAAACCAAAGCAACAAGTTCCAAAAAAAAAAAAAAAATTTAAAAAGAGGAGAGGAAAAAAACAAAACCCAATCGTATGATCCCTTTGCTTTTACAAAAAAAATATTTAGCAGACTCATATTTAATACCACAACTAATAAAAGAAAAAGACCTTATTTGTACGGTTAATATTGTGTGACCTACATTTTGTTTACCTCATAACATTGTTTATAATGTTTTTTTCCGTGACAATCGTCCAAAAAACGACACTAGTCAATTAGTCATCAAAACTACATTTGGTCAAAAATGTGGACTGTTCTTAATAGGAAGCATTCAAGAGCGAAAAGCAAATACCTCCCCTTCAAAGAAGCAACTTGTCCCACATACCACTATGATTGGATAAATTGTTTTATGCCTTGCATTTTTCGATTTGCTTTTCTAAGTTTGTTCTTTTCATCGCACAAATAAGAAAAGGAGGAAAAATGACAAAGCAAAAATTAAAGAATTAACTCAATATTTTTAGGAAAGTTAACACTATCACCTATTTGAATTGTCGATTAAAATAGTGTGAATCTTTACATAATGGAACGTTAAGTTTTGAAGATAGAAAAATGTTTTTTTTTTTGCACTGTTAAGCCACTTCCTCCGAAGTTACATATAATAGATTTAGACTTTAAAGCATGAAATATTTATACATGAATAAAGAGAATCCTAATCATATTTCTCCTAATAACTAATAATTCAAAATTTAACTAAAGATAATCATTAATCTTATCTTTAAATCCTAGGTATAAACTAAATACAAACTATTTAAATTTAAAATAACAAATCATCCTTATTATGTTCCCGCAAGATGGAGCTCCAATAGGAGAATCTAATCTTGAATTACCATGATAGAAGAAATCGACATGAGTGACAGGACGTAGGTGTGGCTGCATCGGTGACAAACATCGAGGAGAGGAGAGACGCATTGTTTAGAATAATTTTAAAATATGAGTTTACTCAGGCACGAAGCCAGCTTTAAGTGAGTGGGAGCTTGAGCCCTCACTCAACTATTTTGTCTTTTTAAAAAATACATATAAATAAAAAGTTTAGTAATACCTACTTAACCCCCACTAAAATTTAAGAATTTAATTTTGTTGTTTTTATTAATTATTTGTCTTAGTTATTAGCCTCCACTAGTTTAAATTCCTGACTCTGTCACTGGGTTTGTCACAATTACTTGATGTTTTAAGCTAATTACGGTAAAAGCTCGTAGTTAAAAAAAAAAAAAAGTTAAGTAAATCATTTAACTACCAACCTTTAAGCTGCTACATGTTCGTCTCATTCACACAGAAGTGAGTAGTTTGCAACAAAATAGGAGACCAGGGGGTGCGCTTAAAATGGAGATACTATAGAGCATGTCAACGTGATTTTTCCTTGTACATTTAGAGAAATTCTCGAAATTTGTCAATATTTTTCCAAGGGTAGTTTTTTTTTTTTTTTTTTTTTAATTAAGAAAACTTGGGAGAGGACAATCATTCTTAACTATTCTTTTAGGATAATTTTTTTTAATTAAAAAAACGTGAGACGAAACGATCAATCTTAACATTTTTTTAAGAGATGACTATAAAACCTTTAAATATTAAGGATATTTACATTAAGTCATAATTACTTATGTCAGAAGACGAAATATCAACTTTAACATTTTTTTAAGAGATGACTATAAAACTCTCAATGTTGAGGATATTCACATTAAATTATAATTACTTATGTCAGAAGATGAAATGTGTTACTTCAACTACATCAAGAATTAGTGAACATCGAGTCAGTAACATGATCTTAAAAATAATCTGAAACCTTCGCATGAAACTCGAACTTGTCAAGTACATTGGGTCTCCTTACAACTACAAGAGTTTTAAATACCACAAAAATGTTATACTAGTGGCATGATGCTTTGCGAACGGATAACTACCCTGACTTAAGATTATTATAACTATGTATTTTTTCCAACTTTATTTAAACAATTCTATCACAGCTCGTTTGGTTCATAGATTAAAATTATTTTTAATTTATGTATATTTTTTATGAAAAAAAATATTATAACAAATTATGAACTATAATTCGAATCAAAGAATAAATTCTTCAACCGGCTTATTACAACTTTATTTTATTGAGTTTAAAAAACTTTTATTTCTAGTTAAGAAAAGCAATTAGTATTTATCTTTTCTTGCTGGCTTAATAATAAGTTAATTAACTATCAATGCTGGCTTGTTCCATTTTGTTTTGACCTTTCAACTTTATTTATTTATTTATTTATTTTCTCCGTGGCTTTTGGTTTTTGCTGGCTCAATAAATATTCACAAGGTCAATCCGTTAATGTCTCGGAAAATTTTCATTTATCTTTCCTCATTAAAAAAAAATATGTGTTCGTTATAAACAGAGTAACCGGGGGAAAAAAAAGCATTGACCATATTTCTCTTTTCAAGGTTGCAATTATGCATATTAAATTACTTTTTGTAGAGTTTCTTTTTTTTTTTTTTTGAACGTCTTTTTGTAAAGAGTTAAGCGAGGGAGAAATACTCAACGATTATTAGTTTTTTTCTTTTTGTTATTTTTCTCTCAAGTTCAGAGACCTGCCGTTTCTTTCTTTCTTTTTTGTTTTTCCTCCTTTCCTACCAGATGATGAATACTTTCCCGGAAACTCCAAGTGCATTTTCCTGGAAAATTTTCCTTCTGAAAGAGTGGTGGCGCATTAGATTTTGATGGGCATCAACTCTTTTTCAGGTTAGTGGTAATCTCTTTCTCAACTGGAATTAGTGAAGACTTGCTGTTGACTTATCTGGGTCTTCACAAGAATTGAATTTCAATCTTTAATGGCAAACTTTTATAGTTTAAACTGTTATTTGAGCTTCAACTTAAAGAAAGAACTTGAAAACTGAGCTCTAATTTTTATTTTTTATTTTTTCTCATTGAGGTATTTTATTTCAAGAGCATGAACTTTTTGAGCGGGGATTTGATTGTAGAATAATATCATATAATGGTGATATCAGAACTCTCTTTGGTTTCTAAGAGAAGGAAAAAGAAACATTTTTGTTTTTACTTTTGTCTCTGTTTTTCTTAAAGTAGGAAAAAGATATGATTTCCTGACTTAAATTCTTTAATTTTTCTCAGCAACCAAACAGGAGAACTAATCTGAAGTTCGTTAGCAAATAGCTCTTGGGCTGACTTCGTTTCCAGTTCAAGTTAAAGGCAGGAGTATTCTGTCTGGGAAAAGATTGGAGCTTGATATGGATACGAAAACTGTTATGGTTCAAAGGGTTTGCGCATTTTTGCTGCAAATAAGCCCCTGTAAATTTTAGCCCAAGATTGAAGCCTATGGGAAGACACCATTTTGTTTTGTAGCGTTGTTGGGTTTTGAGAATGTTGTCACCGGACTTGGTCTCTGGTGCCTCATTGGGGACGGCTACAGAAGCTCTTTCGCAAACAGTGGAACAAATTCTTGAGGTTGTAGTTGCTGCGAATGATGTCCTCGTTAAGAAGGACAGTTTTAAGGAACTTGCGGATTACTTGGAAAGAATAGTCCCAGTTTTAAGAGCGGCAAGCAAGGGAAACATTGATGATTCTGAGAGCTTGAAAAATGCCATTGAGATTCTGAACCGGGAAACAAAATCTGCGAAGCAACTGATGTTGGACTGCAGCCAGAGAAGCAAAGTTTATCTCTTGATGAATTGCCGAACAATAGTGAAGCGCCTAGAGGGCACTTCAAAAGAGATCAGTCGGGCTTTAAGTCTTCTTCCTTTGGCCACACTCGATGTCTCGTCTGCCATTATTGAAGATTTCAAAAGGCTTTGTGAAAGTATGCAGAGAGCTGAATTTCGAGCAGCAAAAACAGAAGAAGAGATTATGGAGAAAATCGAGTCTGGTATACAGGAAAGGAACATTGATCGCTCTTATGCCAATAATTTGTTGGGTCTCATAGCAAAGCAGGTTGGAATTTCACCTGAGGGGTCAGAATTAAAGAAGGCGATTGAAGAATTCAAGAGTGAGATAGAAGATGCCAGGTTGAGGAAGGACCAAGCTGAAGCTATACAGATGGAGCAGATAATTGCTTTATTAGAAAGGGCTGATGCAGCTTCATCTCCAGAGGAAAAGCTGATGAAGTACTACTCTAAGCGAAATTCTTTAGGTAGTCAACCATTGGAACCCCTCCAGTCGTTTTACTGCCCCATAACAAGGGATGTTATGGAAGATCCTGTGGAAACTTCTTCAGGACAGACATTTGAGAGAAGTGCAATAGAAAAGTGGTTTTCAGATGGCAACGCATTGTGTCCTCTGACCATGACCGCTTTAGACACATCCGTTTTACGGCCAAACAAAACTCTTAGACAATCAATTGAAGAGTGGAGGGACAGGAATACAATGATTATGATCGCCTCCTTGAAACAAAAGCTCAAGTCTGAAGACGAGGAGGAAGTGCTTGTTACCCTGAGCGAGCTACAGGATCTGTGTGAAAAAAGAGACCAGCACCGAGAATGGGTTATCCTCGAGGATTACATTCCAATTCTCATTCAACTCCTCAATGTGAGGAGGAATCGTGAGATAAGGAAAAATGTTCTTGTCATCCTTTGTATTTTGGCAAAGGATGGTGATGATGCTAAGGTATCTTTTGTTATATCTCTCTCTTTCTCTAGGTGAAATTGGACTTACTAGTTATAGTTGTAAAGCATAAAGGCCATAGATTCTTATTCCTAAAATATAGCTGGAGATCGTCCTTTCTGGGATTACATTCATATCATTGTGTCAAACTGACACTTCTAGATTAAAGTCATGTTGTCTGCTATTCACTATGAAGAAAGCAATGTATTGATCATTTTTCTAACCAGAATATCAAAATAATTTCATAGATATTTCCCCTAAAATTTGGAAAATGTTGCAGGAAAGAACCAAACGAGTAGGGAATGCGATTAAAAATATTGTTCGATCGCTTGGGCGTCGTCCTGAAGAACAAAAATTAGCAGTGGCGTTACTGTTGGAATTATCTAAATGTAATTCAGTAAGAGATGACATTGGGAAGGTTCAAGGTTGCATACTCCTACTGGTGACAATGTTGAACAGTGATGATAATCAAGCTGCGATCGATGCGCAGGAGCTGTTGGCGAATCTGTCGTTTTGTGATCAGAATGTTGTTCAAATGGCAAAGGCTAATTATTTCAAGCACTTGTTGCAGCGACTTTCTACAGGTTCTTTAATTTCTTTGATCTAGTCTTACCATGATAAGTGGACCTACTACTGATTATGATTACAGGAAAAACTGTTCTGAACATAACCAATTGTCCCTTTTTTATTTTTATTTTATTTTATTTTTTGCAGGATCCAAAGATGTGAAAATGAAAATGGCGTCTAGTTTGGCAGAGATGGAATTGACCGACCACAACAAAGAGTCCTTATTTGAGGGAGGTGCACTAGGTCCTCTTCTCGACTTGGTCTCACAGGAAGACATTGATATGAAAATGGTAGCTGTAAGAGCTCTTCGAAACCTCTCAAGTTTACCCAAAAATGGCCTGCAGATGATCAGAGAAGGCGCAGAGCGACCATTACTTGACATTCTTGTTCATCCTAGCTTTTCATACTCAAGTTTACGCGAACATGCAGCAGCCGCAATTATGCAGCTAGCTGCTTCAACTGTGTCCGAAGACTCTGGTCAGACACCTGTTTCCTTCTTGGAATCCGATGATGATATTTTCATGCTCTTCTCTTTGATTAGCTTGACAGGACCTGATGTCCAGAAGAGCGTTATCCAGACCTTCCACATTCTGTGTCAATCCCGCTCCACTACAAATATCAAGGCCAAGTTAATACAGGTATATATATATATATATATCCGGGAAACTATAGCTTTAATTTTAGGCTTTCTGTTATGCACACCGTTTGCTAAGTGCCTAAAAGATGGTTTGGCCAGAATTTGACTTTCAAGTTTATTGTACTTCCCCAAATTTTCGCCGATGCAAAAAATGTGTGAAAAGGCATATCTTCTGATTACTGAAAAGTTTTCCTAAACTTGGCACCTAGAAATTTTGAACTGCTTGTGTCTTCATGTGTTTACTAGATTTTTGTTTCTTTTGTTTTAAATCTTATAATAGCACGACAAAACCTTTCCAGTTTTAACTAGTTGTCAACCTTTGTTGTGTGGCATTATTTTTGAATATTTACTAGTTTAGCTATCTTTACAGTCCTCAGCTATGCCGGTGTTGGTCCAATTGTGTGAGCATGAGAACCCAAGCGTAAGGGCAAATGCTCTAAAGCTGTTCTGTTGCTTGACAGAAGGTTTTGATGAAGCCACTTTCGGGGAGCACGTGTGTCAAAAGTTCATCGAGGCTGTATTAAGGATCATCAAATCTCCCAACGATGAAGAAGAGATTGTTTCTGCAATGGGCATCATCTCAAACCTCCCTGAAATCCCGCAGATCACTCAATTGCTTTTCGATGCAGGGGCGCTCCCACTCATCTTCAGTTTTCTCAACAACGGCACTCGAAATGGTCCACACAAGAACCAGCTCATAGAGAACGCTGTTGGAGGTATCTGCCGTTTCACTGTTTCAACGAACTTGGAATGGCAGAAGCGCACAGCTGAAGTTGGCACCATTTCCGTGTTGGTGCAATTGCTAGAGACTGGAACCACATTGACCAGACAACGTGCAGCCATAGCTCTTGCTCGGCTTTCAGAGAGCTCTTCACGTCTAAGCAGGAAGTTGCCAAAAGGTAAATGGCTCTCGTGCTTCTCAGCTCTTCCAGAAACTGGCTGCCCAGTTCATGGAGGAATCTGTACTATCGCCTCGTCATTCTGTCTCGTGGAGGCTGGTGCTTTGCACCCACTTGTGAGGATTCTTGGGGAACCTGATCCCGGTGCTTGTGAGGCTGCTTTAGACGCTCTGTTAACTTTGATCGAAAGTGACAGGCTTCAGAGCGGTAGCAAGGTGCTTGGAGATGAAAATGCCATGCAGCCTATAATAAAACTTCTTGGTTCCCCCTCTCCTAGATTGCAGGAGAAGGCTCTAAATGCGCTGGAAAGGATATTCCGGCTGTTCGAGTTCAAACAGAAGTATGGAGCCTTTGCTCAGATGCCTTTAGTCGACTTGACTCAGCGGGGAAGCAGGAGTGTCAAATCCATGGCAGCAAGAGTACTTGCTCATTTGAATGTGCTTCATGATCAGTCCTCTTATTTCTGAAGGAATTTCTAGCTTTTGGTGAAATATAGAACTCAATTCCTCGCGTTGGCTATACAGGAACTGAGAGATGCCTAAGGAAATGCATATCCAGGCACGGAAGCCCCACATATCGTGAAGTAGGACTGGAGATGGGTAAGCATTGAGAAAAGAAAGAAAACCAAGATCAGTTTCATACTTCCCGAGTATACTGACCTCTCTGATCTGTAGTTTGCAGTTCGGTGTAACGAGGTCATGCTTTTGGAGTCATCTTATTCGATTCGATTCCTCTGGCTGTATATATATTATTAAGCCATTGGACAGGTAGGAAAGATCTTGTAGCTCATATTAGATGCTGCGGATGTGGTATCGAAAGTTTATTATTGATAGAAGAGCAAAATCAAGCTGCCGTTGGTGGGCTGGTTAGTGAAGATCATCTAGTTCTTTTCATTGTAGAATTCAATTCTTTGCAACTGAAATGAAGTATATTCTACTCTTCCCGATTTGACGAAGGAAGTTCGAGAATTTTGAACAACAAAGTACTGTTTGTGTTGAATTTGTTAAGTTTTAGTTCAAATACATTATTTCCTCTATGTATGCATGTGGGTGTATATTTGAATAAAGCATCTCTCCAGAATTTCTCTTAGGCTCTAGACAAGATTTCATAGTAGTTGTATTTTATGCGAATTCTTTTCTTTCTTGTAAACTAATCTTCTAGATTCTTTTTTTTGCTTCAGTTTTTCCAATGTTTTTTTTTCCCAGGTAAAGATTGGTACTTGGGAATTGCTGGTGTGCGTGTATTTTGTGCTAATATTGCAGCTCATTTTGCTAATAAATTATAAAGGCCAGCAAGCCATATTACATATAATATTTTTTATCTATCGAGAAACGTCAATGTCAACATGACTTATGTGTGTATATTTTTTTATCAGGTTTTGTATTCTGAATGCTTTTTATTTGCTTTCGATTTTTTTTTTCCTGAAAATTTTGACTTTTTGTAGGAGTCTTTTTATGATGTAAATTTGACTATTTCTAACAACATGGTATACTTTTTATTTGACTCGTGCTTACTTTTGTCTTAAGTTGAGTAAAATTGAATAAAGAACGTGAATTTAAATAAAATTAAAATTTGAGTCGTCTTTTTTTAAGCTTTTTAGACAAAAGAACATGCCTTAAATTTCTATATGTACACTAGTTGAAAACGTGTGTGATGCACGTGTTTATTCATGTTATTTAAAATTTTTTAGATAGGTATGTAAAACCTTTTGCGAAAAAAAAAAATTAATCTTTCTTTCATTGATTTATTATTCTCCAACAGTTTAGTAATATATTCGTATTCACATACATACATATATATTTATATATACTAGATCACATTAAAAAAATATATTTTAGTGGAGAAAAATTAGTCAGTAATTATTTAAAATAGAAATAAAAAAAGTAATATTGAGAGGATTATTGGTAAAATATGTTTAAGTACGGGGAAAGTGAAGCAACCCGTATTTTTGGGGTTTAAATTTGAAATTAGCCCAAAAATTAATAAGGCACATCTAAAAATAAAAAATTTTAAAAAAAAGAAAAAAAATCAAAATTTTAACAGAGAGAGAGAGAGAGATCAAATTGGGATGAACAGTAGGTTAAGTATAAAATTCAAGGGAAAAAATTATAACATTTAGTTAAGAAAACAAAAACATGAAAAAGTTAGTTAAGAAAACAAAAACATCCCCCTCCCCCCAAAAAAAAGGGTCAGAACGAGCTTGTGTTTTGGTTGAAAGCCACGAACAGTAACCGCATATTTGACATTTTTACTATTATTATTTTGCTTATTGTAGCACTTCATATTCAGCAACAACAAAAGCAGTGCTTGGCAGTACACCACCAAGTTGGAAAAATGTGATTGTCTTTAATATAGATGAATACCACATTTCTGTTCCTGACTGCAATTGGGGTTTTAACAAAACCTCTTACTTTGTTCTATATTATTTCTGTTCCTGACTGCGAACTTCAGATTTGACAGTAAAGTTTTCCCAATGAGCTGAACAGCTTGATTCACATTTTACTACCACCACATGTTTGACAAAATGCTTCTGTGAAAAATGCTTCAAAGAACATGTTTGTTATGAACCAGCTTAAGCAGATTCACGCCCACACACTCAGGAATGGCGTAGACCACACAAGCATCCTCATTTTGAAACTTCTCGAAATACCGAACATCCTATATGCCCGCAACCTGTTCGACCTTATTCCCGAGCCGACGGTGTTCCTCTACAACAGGCTCATTAAAGCCTACTCTTTCCATGGCCAACACCACCAATGCTTGTTCCTCTATAGACGAATGTGCCTGCAAGGCTGCACCCCGAACGAACACTCCTTCACATTGTTGTTCTCCGTATGCTCTTCGCTTTCGTCGAGGCAACTAGGCCAAATGATGCATTCCCACTTTGTTAAATTGGGTCACGTACGGGACATTTTTGCTTTGACGGCTTTGGTGGACATGTACGCCAAACTTGGAATGTTGGATTGTGCCCGCAAACAATTTGATGAAAAGAGAGTTAGAGGAACACCCACATGGAATTCCATGTTATCGGGCTATGCGAGGTCTGGGGACATGGAAGGAGCATCGGAATTGTTTCGGTTAATGCCTCAGAGGAATGTGGTTTCTTGGACTGCAATGATATCTGGGTACTCAAAAAACGGACAATATGCTAAAGCCTTGGCAATGTTTTTACAGATGGAAAAGGAGAGAGATGTGAGGCCTAATGCAATCACGATAGCTAGTGTTCTTCCGGCTTGCGCAAATCTCGGGGCGTTGGAGGTTGGGGAGAGGGTTGAGGAGTATGCAAGAAAAGTTGGGTTCTTGAAGGATTTGTATGTGAGTAATGCTGTACTCGAAATGTATGCGAAGTGTGGTAGAATCGATACAGCTAGGCGAGTATTCGATGAGATTGGAAGGAGGAGAAACTTGTGCTCATGGAATTCAATGATTATGGGTTTGGCCGTCCACGGAAGATGCAATGAGGCTTTGGATCTTTATGAACAAATGACGGTAAGCTATGATCACTCTTGTTGGTAAGTTCTCGACAATGTTAAACATTATTGTGATCAAGTTCTTATTACGACTGCCTTGTTTTCCGTGGCTGATTCCAGACTGTAAGAATTGCACCCGACGATGTCACATTTGTGGGACTTATCTTGGCATGCACTCATGGCGGAATGGCTATGAAAGGGCAACAGCTCTTCAAATCTATGGAGCCAAAGTTCGGTATTACTCCGAAGCTAGAGCACTACGGATGCATGGTTGATCTCCTAGGCCGAGCTGGTAAATTGCAAGAAGCTTATGATCTGATACAAGGCATGTCCATGAAGCCCGACAATGTTATATGGGGCGCTCTTTTAGGCGCTTGCAGTTTCCATGGCAACGTTGAGCTCGCTGAGAAAGCGGCCGAGTCCCTCTTCGAGCTCGAGTCATGGAATCCAGCAAACTATGTCATTCTTTCAAACATATATGCATCGGCAAGACGATGGGACGGAGTTGCTAAGCTGAGGAAGGTGATGAAAGGAGGGAAAATTACAAAAGCAGCAGGGTATAGTTTCATTGAAGAGGGAGGCCAAGTTCATAAGTTTATTGTGGAGGACAAATCACATCCTAGAAGTGACGAGATATATGCTTTGTTGAATAAGTTTTATGCAAAAGTGAGGCTTTATAGAAATGACACTGATTGCTTGACTGAAGATGAAGAAATGCAATTTTGAATAAAAGGAACTGTTTGATTTTTTTTTTTTTTCCATTAAGCAAACTGTTTTGTTTTTGTCCTTAACACATTTCCCTCCCTTTTGAATGTGACCAGGGCTAGATTTTTGTTTTTTAAGTAATTGTTCCTTTTAACGAACTTTCATTCCAAAGTCGTCGTCATTTTCGATAATAATAAATATATATTTTTTAAAAGGGTAAAAACGACAACATAACTTGAAAGCAACAACAAATGTATAAAACGACATGAAAGAAGAAAAACGACAAGAAAATAGGCTAACTACAAAGGGAACTCTTTTTTTTTTTTTTTTTTTTTTTTTTTGGGGCTCTGTGTGTTTATTTGAATTCTAAATCACTTTTATATTCTTAAAAGAATTAAGATAATAATAATAAAAATATTAATTAAATAATAATAATAATGACAACAATAATAAACCTCTTACGAGAAAAAAAATAATAACAATAATAAAAATGAAAGCGAAGGCAGTGATAAATGTACAACCACGAAACACTTTGCTACTTTTGAAGTGGAATAGGTCAAGTGGTCAACGGCCGTTCATAACTCCCCTTACCGTTTATAACACGGCGCTTTAATACTCTTTTCCGTGCTTTTTTGTTCAGAGAAATTTATTATTACCAAACTTTACATTTTGCTGTACAAGATGGTGTTTGTCTAGATATGCAAGCATTTACGAGGTAACCAGTCCACGTCCACCTTTATAATTTGCATGTTGTTTTTTGCTATTTACTGAAAAAAAAAAAATTGAAAAAAAAAAAAAAACGCAAATGCCACTTAGTAAACATGATTGCTAACATTTCATTCCTATTTTCTCAGATGATAACATGTGTTTGTTTCCTTTGGATATGTAAAACAATTTTTGATTGTGAAGAACAGCAACTATTCTATCAAAGAATTCCAAATGAAAAAATAGCAATCCTATGTTTGCCTCTTCAACAGCACCACCCCCGGATTGATTCTCATGCCAGTTTTTCCTTCCTTTTTCTCCTTCTATTCCTCCCCACAAATTTAAGCACTTCATCTATTAGTATCACAGGTGAAGAGATCAGAATGACCAGAAGCCACTCATTCAAACTCAACGGAACAATTCCGAACACATCTGCTAGAAAAGGAACGTAAAGTATGAGGCAATGGAGTCCGAAAGAAACCGACATGGCCACCAAAAGCCAAGGATTCCTCCATGGTGGCATTTTGATCAGGCTGGTGTCCTCCGAAAGGGCATTCAGCGAGTTGAACATCTCGATCGCGACCAGGACGGAAAGCGACAATGTCATTGCCTTCACTTTGCCAATGGAGAAGTAGTCACAGGGTTTCGAAAACGAGATGGTTCGACCCCCTGCAACCTTGTATGGCGCTGCGGTGAAGTTCTCCCAGGATGAACACTCACCCCAATTGCGAAGCTGAGACAACTCGACGAGTGTGTGCCCATCGCTCGCGAGGTTGATACCCAAAAAGGAAGCCTGTGTGTACCACAGGATGAAGACGCCAACAGTCGCAATGCCAACATATGAACCAATCACCTGCCATAGTAAAAAAAAGGCTCTTGATGATATAGTTGGCATGATTTTTGCAGGAATTTCTACGGTAGAAATTGTTCTTTTTCACCACTAGTAGGAACTATTGTTTTAACCGTTGAATTAATTTTTCAACAATCTAATTTATGAGTATTCATGTATAACACGCGACACAAAACTGCTCTCATTCATAAATCAGACTGTTAAAAAATTAATATCCCAGGGCTAAAACAACAGTGTCTATCAATAGTGAAACAGAACAGTTTCTATTGTAACAATTCCCTAAAGATATATTTTTGAAGAATGTGTAATGGTCAAACTAACCAAGTAACGAAAAAGAATCCAAGAATTGATCAGCGGGTCGTCGCATTTCCTAGGCGGTTTTCGCATGATGTCAGGATCAGCAGGGTTGAAGCCTAGAGCTGTGGCGGGGGGGCCATCGGTAACCAGATTCACCCACAGAAGTTGAACAGGTATCATGCATTCAGGTATGCCCAAAGCAGCAGTCAAGAATATGGATATTACCTCTCCAACATTTGATGATATCATGTACCTGAAAGTTTAAGAACGTGAAGAGTGATCACTAAGTAGCCCAAAAGAGAAAGGATAGGAAATATTATCGTGAAGTTGAACTAAGAGATCTGTATATATAAAAATATATATATACCTTATAAAAGCTTTCATGTTACTATAAATGGAACGACCCTCAGCAACAGCTGAGACAATGGTGCTGAAGTTATCATCTGCCAAGACCATATCTGAAGCTTCTTTTGCAACCTGAAACATAAAAGTATAGATTGTGAGAAGTAGAATTAACCATCTACCATAGTCCATAGCTAATAAAAGGTCTGAACTTGATAAGAAAATAACTTACTAGTTGCAAAGAATAGATGAAAATGTATTAGAACAAATCCATGGGAGTGAAAAGATTTACCTCAGTTCCAGTGATGCCCATGGCAATTCCAATGTCGGCTAGTTTGAGTGCAGGAGCATCATTGACACCATCTCCTGTCATTGCAACGATCTCGCCCATATCCTTCAGAGTCCTAACAATTTCTTGCTTATGCCTAGGCTCAGCGCGAGAGAAAACTTTTCCTCCTGGTTTCGATAACACTTCTATTTGTTCGGAAGTCGAAAGAGCCATGAACTCTTTGGCTGTAAAACTCTTCCCTCTGAGATTCTCTCCTTTTGAGAACAAATTGATTTCCTGACAAATGGCCTCAGCCGTGGACTTATTATCTCCAGTTATGACCATGACCTTGATCCCCGCTTCTTTACAGTCCTCGATCGCTTTGTGAACTTCCTCTCGAGGAGGGTCCTGACCAAGGTTAGTTGTTAAAAGAGATTTCCAAAGCCACAAGTTTGAGAATCAATTAGCAAATGAGATAAGTACACTACTTACTCTTAAACCGACAATCCCTACGAAAATCAAGTCGCTCTCGATGGAGGAGTAGTTAGCAGGATCAAGCAGCATTTTGTGAGCAGGGTGACTCTCGGAATAATAATCCGAAAGCTCTCCTAGCTCATCCTTGTATGCCAAACCCAAGCAGCGCAAACCCTTTGAGCTCATCTCCGATAGTTTCTGAAGCAACAACTGCCTGCAAGGTTCATCTATTGGAATGAGTGATCCATCAGCAAGTTGAACATATGAACTCCTCTCCAGTAAACTCTCAACAGCACCCTGCAGACATAAAAACAACCAACCAAAAACAAGAAAAATAAATAAATGAATAGAAGAGGCTAAAACTTATATAGTCATTTCACCTATTTCCACGGAAGAAAAGGAAAATGGTTACTACATTAGGACATTTAAGCACTAACATCACAAAAAATATTGTAATACATGGCAGATTAATAATAAGACCAGTTAGAAGATCAGAAAATGGCAGTCACCTTGACAAGAAGTCGGTTATGCCCAGTTGGCTCCCGGGCAATAACACTCATTGACTTCCGAACGCGGTCAAACTCCAAGGTGGCAACCCTTTTCGATCTTTTAGTCCACCACTCGCAACAACCTGAACATAAAAAAATTTGAGAACCATGTAAAATTCTTCCTTGGTACTCAGGAAATACATGTTACAACATAGAGAGAGTAAAGTCTTGGCTAACCTAGCTTCACCGTGCTGCGATCAATCAAATAGCTTGCAGCATGCTGGGTGTCACGAATTTTGTTCCTTGCCTTGCTATCTGGAACTCCCATCTTCTCAACCAAAACCTTAAGAGCGGCCTCGGTGGGCAACCCTGTTGCCCGGAAAAGGTTTCCATCGAAATAAATCCCAGCATCATTGCAAACGGTGCATATTTCTGCGATGGCTTGCAAGTTAGGATCCATATTGAAGCAAGTCCAATCAACTATTCCACCATCCTTGGGATCATAAGTCGTTCCTTCGACATGGATTATTCTAGAAGCAGTGGTTTTCCCTCCCAAAGTGAAGAACTCGGTGACAGACATCTGGTTTGTTGTCAATGTCCCGGTTTTATCCGAACAAATCACAGTTGTGCACCCTAAAGTTTCCACACTCGGAAGCTTCCGCACAATAGCATTCTTCTTAGCCATTTTCCGCGTACCTAAAGCTAAGCAAGTGGTGATCACAGCAGGAAGGCCTTCTGGGATCGCAGCCACCGCGAGAGCAACGGCAATCTTGAAATAATAAGTGCATCGCTCGAAAGAAAACTGGATGTTTGTTGGCTTTCCATCCACAAGATCCCAGGAGAGGAAATTCTTATAGTTTATTATCCAAACCACAAGGCAAACAACCCCAATTGCAGTAGTGAGTCTGCCTCCAAATTCATCTAGCTTCTTCTTCAAAGGTGTGTCACTCTCTTCCAAAGAAGCCTCGTGTATTTGCTTCTGAATCTTACCAATCTCAGTATTCATCCCAGTGCTAATCACAACACAAATACAGCTTCCATTCACACACGTTGTCCCCGCGAAAACCATGTTCTCTTTAGCCTGCAGCTCGCAATCATCCACAAAAATCGGATCTGTCCCTTTCAGAACAGGATTTGCCTCTCCGGTCAGCGAGCTTTGCTCTACCCTCAACGTCGAGGTTTTCAAAACCACCACTCTCATATCGGCCGGGACTTTGTCTCCAACTCTCAATTCAACAATGTCACCAGGAACAAGCTCGCGGGCAGGCAAATCCGGGACAAAGAACCCATCCCTCAAGACCTTTCCGGATTCACATTGCATCTCTTTGAGGGCCTCCAGCGCCTTTTCCGCGTTGCTCTCCTGCCAAACTCCAACAATGGCATTTAGGACTAGAATCAAGACAATGACAACCGGTTCCACGTAGGCCTCCAACCCCGATTCCACTGATTCGGCCCCGTGCATATAGGCTAAAATGAAGGATATGGAGGCTGCAACAAGGAGTATCTTCACAAGCATGTCATCAAACTGTTCCAAAACCAATCTCCACAAGGGCTTTCCTTTCTCTTTGGCAAGCTCATTCCAACCATATCTCTCACGCCGTTTCTCAACCTCATAACTGCTCAGACCCTTTTCCAGTTTCACATTGTACTCTTTCAAGCACTGCTCAACAGACCAGGACCACGCAGGGAATGGCTTTTCCTCCATTGATGCTTCTCTCTCTTTCTCTCTCTCTCTCTCTCTCTCTCTCTCTCTCTCTCTCTCTATCTATCTAATGTCTCTTTTTGGAGTTCAAAATTTACACACAAACAAAAAGACCTCATTCAAGTTTGTCTCATGCCCATATCAAAAGTCCTACAGAATAAGCAACAACGTGTCAAAGGAGGCAATTGAAGGGGACAAAAGAAAAAAAAGAGTAAATCATGACGTCATAAGTTACAATCATGGAAAAGACAGATCAAATTTTGAAAGGGAATTATGGTTCAAAACGTCTTCTTCTTTTCTTCTCCTCTGGCTAAGGTTTGTTCAAACCAAAAAAGCTTAGAAGAAAGTCCTTTCCTTTTCACATCTTAATTACTAGACATTAATGCCAAACGGAAAACCAGCTATACAGTTGGACAACATGCTCCTAAGATTGGTTTACCGTCCTCAACTACTTCCCAAAAAGGGAAAAAAAAAAAAAACCTTAATTAAAGAGAAAAATGAAAGGACTAATAACTACATATTAACAGAAACATTCACATAAAAAACACAAAAGACCAAAGAAAAAGATAAATAGCCAGAATTCAGAACACCCTGAAAATAAGACATAAAAACTGAATTTTGAGTGGTGAAACAAAAACATGAAAAGGAGAAAGGAGAGAACTTTGTACCTATATTGCTGGCTTGTAAACAAAGCAAGGCTGAAACTCAAAGGCCAGAGAAGAGAAGAGAAGAGACAGAGAAGAATAAGAGGAGAGAAGTGTCGTTCTTGGTTCTTATATTCTTAAAAAAAAAACATCAAAACTTGTCAAAGAAAGAAAAGGGTCTCGTGGGTTATGGTGAGTGGACTGGTCGTATTCTCTTTGCCTTTTTTGCTCTCCTCTTTGGATTTTTTTTTTTTTTTTTTTTTTGGCGTTCTTTTATGAAATGTGTAGTTTTGATTTGGATCTTTATGGTTATAATATGCATTTTTGGATTTTTGAAAATCTTGCATTTGAAAAATCTTCGCATCTGGCTAATTTGAAAGGGAGACATTTACTGTTTTACCCTTGGACGGTTAGACTTTGAAGATTGTGGGGAGTTTTAAATCCATAACTGCTGTTCTACGTGGGGTTTGACTTGCTTTGATACCTTTATTATAGGCCGTACGCGTGTTGCAGATTTCCCCACATTGAACTCTGTGCCTTCATTTTTTAAAAACCATGACGAGCGGGCATTTTCGTCTCTTGCACTTAACCTACCGAAATGCTTATTAGAGAAAAAAAAATAAAAAATCATATGGCCTCGAATTTTAAGGTTCGTTTAATTGATTTGAATTAAAATATGATTTTATATAAAAAAATTTTATTATAATAAAAAAATTAAATGTAATTATTTATGAGAATTTTTTACTGTAACAAAACTCGAATTCTAACTCAAATCGATGAAATGAACGGTGGTCATTTTGTTGCACACAATTTGAAGTGGACTAATCAAGTGATTTTTAGATTATCAATCCGGCTTTACGTCAGAATTGTTTATCAACAATTAGACCAAACCGTTACCGATTCAATTTGAAAATTTTTATTATCAAACTATGAAAGGATGAACAGAGATAAGACCTAATAAAAGCGTTCTTACCATTACACTACGACCATCATCGATGGTTATTAACTTTATTTGTTGTTGTTAGGCTTTTATCATTATAAAATGTTAATTTTAATAAATTACAATGTAGTAATAGTTTGTTCAGTTGTTGTATTCAATTTTTATTTAGAGTTATAGAAATATGAAATCTAGTAACTAAATAAAATAAAATGAAAATTTCAAGAAATGGTTAAAATCATGATTAAACCATACAATACCGTTGTGTTAAGTGAACATCGAGTGGGTTGGGTGGATTTTAGATATTTTTTTACACTGTCCAATTAAGTTTGGGTGGTTGATTTTAAATTTAATCCACTTGATCAACCTAAATTTGAAATCAACCTTCCTAATTAAAATTTGGATAGATTGAGTGACTTGAGCGGGTTAAACATTATAAATAAATAAAGATAATTATATAACCCGAAATAAAAAATATATGAAAAGAAAATTATATTATTAGTCTCATAAAATTTTAAACTTGTCTTATAAGTTATAAACCGACCTATGAGACAAGTTTTTAAAAATATTTTTGGCATAGGACCATTTGGCAATAACATTATTTTGGAGATTATTTTTAAATTGAAGAATCTACAATAGAAAAGGTGTTTTGTGAATTTTGTTTTTGCCTACCATATTTAAAGAGCCCTGGTGAATAGCAGGATTTGAGAAACATATTACGAATTTTTTTTATAGTAACTTTTGACTAACATTACAACTGCAACAAAAATTTCATTAGTTGAACGATGTCGAAATGGTCTATATTATTACAGAGTACTGAAAACAATATATTATTGCAAAGTACCGAAAACAATACATCCTGTCAAATATTGTATATGTCTTAATCGTCAAATTTTCAATATAGTTCCGTTTAATTGTCATGCTGGTTTTAATATAATTTGATAATGATATGATATACTCATGTAAGAATACAAATTGTCTTCTATTTATAGCGTATTTTTTATACCTTTCGGCCTAAGACGTGATGGTAATTTTAGATAGCATAATTATAATGTTATTTCACTGAAGACTTTGTGTTTTAATATTATGTTAGTTCGTCAAATCTCTAAAAATCGTAAACTATTAAGGAGTGGGTCAACAATAGTTTTATACTCTACAAATATTTTACACTAAAAAGAAAATATGTGGTACGGCACAAAAAATATCTCACATCTAAGGCACAACTCTATTGAATTGTTGAACATTTCTTTGTTTAATATAATTTTGATTTGATAAATTATAACCTAACAACCATCAATGATGAAGCTATAAAGCTTTTACTGGGATATTATAAAAAGAAAAAAAAATTGTGACAATTTTTTGTTTCTTGGATGAAGACATAGTTCTCGTTTGTTTCACTGGTATAGTTCAATTCAATTCAGTTCGAATAGTGAGCACAGTTTTGAACTCATGATTGGTAAGCACGCAGTTCGAATTATATTCATTGTTTGAACTGAGTTAAACAATCCAACTTAGAGTTTACCTATCCCCAAGTTCAACCATTCGAACCATTTTTTAACAATAAAAAAGTGTCTACTCTCTTTGATTTTTACACCTACCAAACATAAATTTGAATTTTATTCCCTACTCAAATTAAAATTTTCATTGCACATCAAACGCCAATTCAAACTACAATTTAGACCACACAGTTTGAATTTTTTAGTTCAAATAAAAAAGTTCAAATGAACAAAATTCAAACCAACAAACTAAATAAGGGCATAGTTATTGAATTCAATTATTAAGTGAGAACTTCATTATAATTTCTCATAAAACTTAGGAAATAATTGAAATTTATAAAAATGAGGAGTAAAAATTAAATTTTTATTCATGCTCCCACTTAATAATATGTAGCTCCGTCACTGTGTTTCACTTATTAGTTTTTTTTATATAGTCTATCATTTCTTTTAATTTAGGAGGGGAGGGATTTGAACCCTACAACTTAGAACAAACACTATTGGACACTATTGATGCTCAGTATCACCGATCACTAATAAAAGACGAGTCTCATAACATAAGACTCACAAGTAGGATTCATCTTCTATTAATGGTTGTGCTTAACACTGATGGTATCCATAAGTATTTTTTCTGTAACTTAAATATGAATCACGTAAAACATTACTGCTACATTATTGCATACAACCACTACTCTATCAGTATTAGCAAGATAAAAAAAAGGAAGGAAAAATTGAAAGAAAGAAATAAAGAAAGACAAAGGGTGCGTTTGGAACTCGTTCCAAAATGATTCTGTTTTTTGTATGAAAATGAAAAGGTTTTCAATCTCAGATAGAAATCATTTTTAAAAATGCGTTTGGTAGTTTTATCAAAATATTATTTTTCAGTGTAAAAAAACTCATTAATGTATATCTTTCTCTTTCGTTGCTCGAGAGAGGAGAAAACGAAAACAAAAAATAAAAAAAAAGACTAAAAGCCGTGTTTTATTTCTCTCATTTTACACAAAACCAAAAAATCGTTTTCATTTCTGTTTTTTGTCTTTATTGCGTCAAACGCCGTTTTGAAAACGTTTTAATTCTTTCTTTCTCAAAAAGCGTGAAAAACAAAAATGAGATCAATTTCAAACACGACCAAATGTTCCTTGAGCTTTACTCTCGATCTCATTTTGGCATTTGACTTTTAAAACGTATCACAATTAGTCTCTGAAGTTATATTTTGTTTTAATTTCGGTTCTTTCATTAACTAAGTGTTAAATATTTGACAACATATGTGAAAATTATGGACCAAAATTGAAAACTAACTAAAATTTAGAGATTATTTGTGGGAATTAATTTTGATTAGATGTTTCCAATTTTGGTCCATAATCTCTACACATTCCATTAAACGTCTAACACATAGCAAATAGAGGACCGAACTTGAAACATAATAAAACTCTAAAAATCAACTGTGAGACGTTTTAAAAGTCGAGACTTCTCTCATGTAAAATAAAGAACATAAATAAATATTATGACATTGTTCATTTTATGACTAAATTCATATTATTACAATATTTTCTCTTATAAAAATTTAAATTTAATTTTTTTATTATAATATTTTTTTCTCACCTACTCAACTCAAATCTTAATTTAAATTGTACAAATAAACATATTCTATAACTAACCAGAATTAGGTGGGTAGGCAAAATACGAGACAGCTTGAGAAAGTTATGGTTTTCCAGTTGCTTGCTTTCATATTCATAAGATGGTTTTGAGGTTTCAAATTGGCCAGCCAGCCAAATCCTCACCAAGATCTCCATCCCCGTTACAAGTTTTTAGGTAGATTTGTCTTTTCTCCGGTCGAATTCTTGTGTAAATATGTTTTTTCTCCCTTCTTTTTATAATTTCCATCAAAGATATATGTTGGAACTCAAAGCACAAATTATTATTCTTTTAATAACCCTTGATTCTATTGTCTTTTCGGGAAGACGTGAAATACGATGCATTTATAAGGAGCATGCTGGAGACAATATAATTATTGATTTTGAGGAACCCAAGAAAAAGTTGAAAAATAATAAAAAGTAATAAAAGTGGTAGGAGTAGGAGAGGCAGGGATTGGAAATGCAAGGCTGTCACTTGTCAGTCAAGGGGTATTAAATAATTAACTTTTAATTAATTATTATTTCCACACTTTGGTGATGTGCGAGAATGGCAATGCGTGTGCAAATCATAATTATTTTATTTTTTGATTAGTGGAACCAAGGTTCCTAGAAAGTTCCATTGCTTACCTGCAACACTTATCTTTATGCGTGTCATTAAACACGAATTATCATCCGTTTAATTCGTTAATTTAAATTTTTAATTTAAATTAATATGTAATTTTATATAAAATTTTTTTATTATAATAAAAAAATTAAATATGATTATTTTTTAAAATTTTTTACTGTAATAAAATTTAAATTTTAAATTTGAATTAGTGAAATAAATAGAATCTTATAGTTAATAGTTGAACACCAAAAAATGCATTATAGTTAATGGTTATGGACTTCCTATAATTTGGTATTATTGCTGCCATTTGTCAATGCCTTAATAAGGTTGGCTATCGTTTTTGCCAACTTGTTTTTCTTTTATTTTATTTTAATGCTTTCATCGTTTTTTTTTTTCTTAAATTCTTTATGATATTTTTTCCCTTGTATTCATTATGATATTCTTCACAAAAAGTGTGGTTTAAAACAATATTGCTGACCTCTAACTTTTTGGTTGGTGGTTTCTGTCCGCTTACCTCTTTGATTTGTGTCCCGTACTTGTCAATATATATCCTTTTAAATCATGAGTGAGGGATTCAAATTCTAATTTTAACTTTTAGAATAATTCCATAATACATAAATTCTCTTAAATTTGACTTCTCTTTTTGCGTACACAAGTTTATGTAATTATATTTGTTTCAAATTATTTATTAGAGTGATGTATCATCACTTTTTTTTATCACTTTTTATATTTATTATTTGATATATGGACTCAATTATATTATTTTTTGTTTAAATTATAATATTTCATGTTAGTAAAATTAAAGTGTCGACAATGAATGTAAATAGTGATAAAGAGAGTAATACTAACACTCCGTTCATTTCACCGATTCGAGTTTTGTTACAGTAAAAAGCTCTCAGAAACAGTCACATCTAATTTTTTTATTACAGTAAAAGCTCTCACATAAAATCTCTTATCAACTCGAATCAGCGAACTGAACGATCATTTTTCTATTTATCAATTAAATGTTACTTTTTGATTATGCCAATGATGAATGCAAGATTAGGTTGAGCATTTGAGAAGCTCTATATTTTTCTCATTGCTTTCAAAACTTTAACTTGAAGAATTTATTCGTTTCTTTGAAACTTGGAAGGTTCTCTCTAATCCTTCCTAGGTCTTACACGTACAAGCAATGCTTCATCTCTTATTTATACTCGCTTGAAAAACACGCAATGTTTTTTCATGATTTCATTAAAATCATTTTCATTTTATTAAGGTACACCTAATTCGAATGATAAAAGATTCTAACTTCTAAGAAATGTTTTCTCCAAAGCAAGTGCTTTTAGTATGTCACAAATTGGTTTCCTTATTTGTTTATTGCAAAACCTCCCGCAACCTTATATTTGCAAAAGACCAAAATCAATAATAACGATCATAAAATTTCTCATGTCCTTTCTCATGTGATCCTGTGATGTCAGTTAGCAGGGCATATTGATAAAACATCACAAAGGGTTAAATATAAGGAAAGGGGTTGTGCAAATGTTAGTGATAAAATTAGAAATTGGAGACAATAATAAAAAGATCTCCAATGCAATGCTAAGTTAAATGCAGTTTTTTTTTTTTTTTTTTTTTTTTTTTTTTTTTTTTTTTTTAATTACACAATATCAAACTACTTGTGATGATGCATGTGAGATGTAATCACTACAACATTGCCCTTTTCAAATTATTTTAACACTGGCTTGTTCATTTACACCTAAACTCAAAAAAAGTTTAAATTCAAGTTACAATTTTATTCAAGTTCATGTTCTTTTGTAAAATTTGAGTTTGAACTTGAGTTTAATGCTAAAATCCTGAATTTAAGTTCCCATTCAACTCAAGTTCCTAAACTCAAACTCAAGTTAATGAACAATATTTTTCTATTCTTAAAAATATCATAACATTTTCGTTTTAATTTCGATTGAGATAATTTTTTTCTATGCGTTCACAACGAAGAGACGAATAAAACTTCGCCCATATACCCTATTAAAATTTTTCATCACCATTGAGTTTTTATTAGAGTACTATCCAAATACAAATTCAAGTTTTGACACACCCAAACACAAACTCAAATAGATTCTCAATTCAAACCATAACTTAAAATGTGCATATCCAAACACAAATTAGAGTCCCAATTCAAACCATACTCAAATACGCCTGAACACAAGTCACCTTAACTCAAAATACAAAAGAACAAAAATTTGCTTTTACTTGTTTTAAAACGAAATAGTTATGTGTATAAAAAATAACTATTTATGAATAAAATAGATATAACATTTAAAATTGAAACTCAAAGTAATTGTTATTTTCACACTTTTAATACTACAACATTGTCATTTTTAATTAAGTTATTTTAAAATTAAAAATTTATTTTTACAAGTTTCAAAAACTTTAATACTTATAAAAAAGAAAAGATATAACATTTAAAATAGTGTTATTCATTATAGTACAAAATAGAATAACATATCGAATATGACATTTTCACATTATACATTTGCGTAGAAGATTATACAAATCTTTCTAATAGATAAAAAAATATTGCACACCAAACTCCTCTTGCAAAAATCGAGTGATGGATGGTAGTTCACGACGGGCTATAGCATGGTGCAAGGGTTGCTATAGTGTTGGGCTTAGCGGCGATGCTGGGTCTTGACAAGAGAAGCGCATGGGCATTGAGTCTCAACGGGAAGAGTTACGGAGATGGGACTCCACCGGAGGAGGCACAATAAAAGAACATTTGGTTTATAAATTTAAAATTATGATTCAGAATCGTTTTTAGTTTATGTGTATTTTTTGTGAGAAAAAATACTGTAACGAGTTACGAATCATGATCCGAATCATGATCCAAATCATGACACACATCGGTACTCCAAATGCACCCTAAAGTGTTTTTGCTTTGGACACTTTTTTTGTTCAAGAAAATTAGTGAAGTCACCGTTTAAATGCGTTGTTTTAAAATTTTTACTCTTTATTATTGATTAATTTCTTTTTAATTAATATAGTTATTTAATTAAAGAGTATTTAAAACTCTAACACTCATATATTTTAAAATGTGCTTATCACATTTTCTTTTTTTTCCCAAGTACTTTAACCAAACACTCTCACCCTCTCCCAAAAGAAAAAAAAAAGAAAAAGAAATGCGCGCTCTATCTCTCTTCTCCTAACCAAAAACCAAATAGGGCCGAACGGCCCAAATTTTTATTTTTCTCTCTGATCTTCTAAAAACTCAATTAGGGCTCCATTATTGGTTGTATAAATTAACGACTGACCTTTGGATGATTTTCTCTACGTCTCTTTAGGGTTTGTTCCTCTCCTGAATCGATTCGACGTATTTAAGGTACTCTCTCTCTCTTGCCTAACTTTTCCGTAATCTCTCTCATCGTAAAGTACTCATGTTTCCTGTGTTTGTTTGTTTCCCAAGAAAGTAAGAAAGAAACGCAATGAATTGAGAGAAAGTGTACAGAGTTTTGTGGAATATGCGAAACAAGAAAAGATTGAGGAAAAAATGTCGAAAAACGTAAAAACGAAAGAAAAGAACTGGAAAATCAATACCGTTGGTTGGTTATTCATCTTTATTATTGTTTGTTTCCTTATTTGATTCGATTGTTATCTAATTATCCAGGTTTTTGTGTTGCCGATTAGCGTAAGATTGCGAGAATGAGGCCGATATTCGTTGGGAACTTCGGGTACGATACTCGCCAATCGGAGTTGGAGCGTCTCTTCTCCAAATACGGGCCAGTCGAACGTGTTGACATGAAATCTGGTAAAATTTCGATTGGCTGATGATGTTTCAATTGTGTTGTTCTCGAAACATATCTTTCTTAACAATGTCTTCAATGTTGTTAACGTTGTTTAGAGGGATTTAGTGTACATTCAATGTGTGAACACTTTAGGCTCATGCTAAACAAATTAGGCGCAAATTCTTGTTACCCATTTTCTCGAAATTCCATTAATTTATCGGGTGCTTTACGGCTTGGTGAATGAGGTTTTTGAATGACATGACTAATGACTTTAGGTCAATGTTTTTAGTCTCACCCAAGGACATAATCTTTATCGTTGTTTCATTTCCCTAAAGTTTTAGCCTACATTTATGTATTTGGTCAATCCATCATCATGTTTGTTCGTACTTGCACAGTTACCTGTTTTGTTTACTACTTAACTTAATCAACTTCGTTACCTTTTTGTATAATAAGCTACTCAAACTGATCTCGGCTGCAACTAATATGGGATTGAACTCCTTTGGTCTCGGTTAATATGGTTGAAATAATCTGGTCCTGACATTCTATCATCGCGTTACTGCTGCCGCTGCTGCTGTTTTTTTTTTTTTTTTTTTTTTTTTTTTTTTTTTTTTTTTTTTTTTTTTTTTTTTTTCCTGCTTATATTTATCAAAATATAGAGACAAATGTTGAGCCTGTGTCAGTTGTTGAAGGGGGACACGCTTCATTTGCAGTCGCTTCTCGTACCTTGCAGAAGGAAATCTTTCAAGTTTCAATTTTGATTTTTATTAGAGAAACTATATATTTGCAGCGGTTGTCTCTGGATATATGGCTACTTGTGTAGTTTGTATATCCAATGCCTTTCTTCCTTGGTGGAGAGGAATTGGCATCGACAAATTTGCTATTTCTTTGGAGTAAACCTCCATGTTTAAGTTTTTCTTTTGACGCAGGATCGGGAAAATGAGCTGAGCTTCTATCTGGCTCGCCAATGTCTCTGCAAAAAAAAAATATATATTTTGGAAAGCAAAACCTTCCTGGTTGCCTGCTCTCCTTCACTCACAGATAGCAACACCTGCATTTTCTTCACTCGCTCATCCGTCTCTTTCTCACTCTTCGCGTAAAGTTGCCATTTAACAAGAATGGTTCTAGTGGAATCTGTCAATTGTTATGCCATGCCTACCACCATTGTTCATAGTGGCTAATGAAATCTGGTCATTGCCTTCCCTGTGATAATAAGAGATTATTGAAATATGTCATGACTCTTGCCATGCCTTCCATTACTGAACTCGTGCTGTCTCAATGGTCTGAATGGTGAAGCATGCTTAGCAATGTCTTCTCAGAACTGAAACTTTGGATTGTAATATTTTATATGCAACCATCATGATTTAGTTCATCCAACGACTCTACAGCCTAATGTGCATCAGCCCTTCACGTATATGCAGGTGTTGTATTTCCTTTAGGAAAAAGAAATATTGAGGCTGGTGTACTGCCTGCTAAGTAGATGAATGTTAGTGTCTCCTATTTCCTGTTCTATCTCTGATTCATTTTTTCTTTCAGGTTTTGCTTTTGTGTATTTTGATGATGACCGGGATGCTGAAGATGCTATACGTGGTCTTGACAGTAGGCCATTTGGATATGACAGGCGCAGACTTTCTGTTGAATGGGCTAAGGTACAATTTGGTCAAATGTTCAAACTTTTGTCAATTGTTGTTTTTTTTCTTTGTTTTTGTAATTAACTTCGTTATGTTTTGAACTTAATTTTTCAGGGTGAACGTGGTCGACACCGTGATGGGTCCAGGCCAAATCAGAGGCCAACAAAAACTTTGTTTGTGATCAATTTTGATCCACTTCATACCAGAGTCCGTGATATTGAAAGACACTTTGAACCGTATGGGAAGGTTCTGCATGTTAGAATCAGACGGAATTTTGCATTTGTCCAATTTGAGACTCAGGAGGATGCTACAAAAGCTCTTGAGTGCACACACATGAGGTAATTAACAATTTGTTCTCCTTTTGCGGGTTTGCCTGTGTTTGGAAAGAGAAGAGAAGGATATGCTTTCTTGTAACTTGCTGTGATTATGAACCGACGTCATAATCTTATCTGTGGGACTAACAAACTGAATATTTTGGATTTGCAGCAAAATAATTGACCGGGTCGTCTCTGTTGAGTATGCTCTAAAGGATGACGATGAGAGAGGTGATCGCTACTATGACAGTCCTAGAAGAGGTGGATATGGTCGACATAGTCCTTATAGAAGGTCGCCTAGCCCTGCATACCGCAGGCGTCCAAGTCCCGACTATGGTCGACCACGCAGCCCAGTTTATGACAGATATGATGGCCCTGCTTATGATAGGCGCAAAAGTCCTGGTTATGGTCGGAACATCAGTCCTGAATATGGCAGATACCGCAGGTTTGTACTTCTACTTCCTCTCTTTTCATCTTTGTTTCCTTAATGGAGCAGTCGTCTGTTTCGAGTGACTCTTGGTTTGTTAAGAGCCCCTTTGTGCATTTTCGTTCATTGATGCCTCGTTCTCGAACCTCTCTCCTTGCAGCCGCTCACCTGTTCGGAGGTCATCTTAAAATCGTGCAGTTTAATGGAAGAAGCATGCAGTTTAATGGAAGAAGCAGGCCTAACATGTCTTACTTTCCCGTGGTAGAAAGTGCTTGGCTATAGTTTTAGGCGGATTTATTAATGATATGAAGAATCTCGGTATAGTGCTTAGGTTCTTTATGATTGTACGTAAAGAAGTATGGATTCTCAAGTTTACTCTTAATCATAGAACTTGGTGTATATTTATATCATTTGATAAAAATCAGCGATGTGACCAGACTTTTTTACCGGGATTAGTTGTTTTTAGCTCATGTGTGGATTTTTCTTCACTCTTGACCTGATATGTTGTTCCCAATATGTAATATGCCGTTTTACTAAAGTCAAACCCTAAATTGAAGTGGATAATAAGATACAAGTAACGAGGTTCAATACTACTTTTGAAGTCTAGCTACTTGTTCAAACCACCTTTTTTTCTCCTGTAAATTAAGCTTAAATCCTTCCTTAGTTACATGGATGAGTGCCAACTCTCTAAAATTATATACCTTAACTCACTCTAGGTTACAATGGTCTAAACTAAGGTTCCGTTCACTTCGCTCATTCGAGTTTAGAATTTGAGTTTTTTTACAGTAAAAAGTTATCACAAACAATCACATTTAATTTTTTTGTTACAGTAAAAAGTTTTCACATAAAGTCACATCTCAACTCGAATCAGCGAAGTGATCGGGGCCTAAAATTTAGCATGCACTATCCGGTCAAATGACTGGAAGCCACTGTTAGAGTGCATGATTTTGTATTTTTACTCCTTATTCTTAATTAATATTTTTTTTATTATTATGGTTATTTAACTAATAAAGGCATGAATTAGGAGTAAGGAGAAAAAATTTATGCCCACACACGAGTATTTATCTTCTTTCTCTTTATTTTATTATTTGTCGAAGTACAAATCATAAGACCTTCTAGCGTTCCGGTTTGCTTATGCAAATCTGAGCGTCAAATGAGTATTTTGCCGCTCTTGTGCCTTTTATTTGGATCCTTTTATGGCGTCAGGGTCTCATTCACAACATCAACGCCGGTTTGCAAGTATATGGGTTTTCTTATCAATGTTCAAGTTCACAAGTAAATAATTTTCTTCACAAAATTTCACAACCTTAACGTTTGAATCTTTACACTATGTTTGGTATGAATGAAAAGTGGAAGGAAAGAAAATGTTAGAGGGATTTTAGGATGGAAATTGATAAATTAACTTGTTTGGTAGAAAGAAAATTAGGAAGGAAAAGAAAATTGAAAGAAAATTGTAATAGGTGGGTCCCACCATATTTAATCTCTCTAAAAGTGAGAGGATTTTAAGAAGAAAAATGAATCTCTCACTACCTTACTTCTTGTTTCGTTCTCTCTCTCTCTCTCTCTTTTTTTTTTTTTTTTTACAATTTGCTCGTCCAATTTTTTTTTTTTTCGCTTTTGTTTGTCTAATATCTTGTATGTAATTAATCTCTCACTGTCTTGCTTCTTCTTGTTTCGTTCTCTCTCTCTCTCTCTCTTTTTTTTTTTCAATTTTCTCGTCCTTTTTTTTTTTTTTTTTTTCAATTTGCCTGTCCAATTTTTTTTTTTTCGCTTTTGTTGCTCTAATATCTTGTATGTAATTAATCTCTCCCTGTCTTGCTTCTTCTTGTTTCGTTCTCTCTCTCTCTCTCTCTTTTTTTTTTTCAATTTTCTCGTCCTTTTTTTTTTTTTTTTTTTCTAATATCAACATTGTATGTTAATGACTTGCTCTTGAAGATGATGTACAACAATGAAGACTGAAATCATATGGTTTAGAAATTTAGTAGTCACACCATTTTATAACCTTTTTAGTAAATATATTGATATGGTACTTAGTTGATCACACATAATTTTTGTTAATACTTAACTGCAGGTGATTATTGGAAAATATATATGACCATACAAACTAATACTTTTGTGGAAAATTTCGCTTACTTTACAATAGTGGATGCATAGTATATTAGTCACTTTTTTGTTGTATTTGAACCTTCAACAAGTTGTTGTATTTAAACTGTAGCTAGCTACTCTTTTGTTGTATTTAAACGTTAAAAAAGTTAATGATGCATTAATGCTATATAAGTTAAATTATGTTTTTATACCTTTATATATGTATGTGTGTGTATAATATAGATGGAATATATATTCAAGTTATATGAATTTTTTGAGTTAATTTAATGTTAAATACTGTATTATTTATACTTTTATTAAAAACGAATATTAATAAAAAATATTTTGACAAAAAAGTAATTACACCAATAATAATTTTTCCATCTCTTTATTTTCACTTATAATACCAAACAATAGAAGATAAATTCATTTTCTTTCTTCCCTATCATACCAAACAAATAAAAAAAAAAATTAAAACTTTTTCTATCATTCTAATTTTCTATGCATTATAATTTTCCTTTCACCCCTATTTTCTTTCCTTCTCACCAAAGAGCATTAAAGTTTGCAACCATATCTTTTCATTTTGTAATTCCACGTCCTTGTGCTACCTGCCTACAATTACTTTTGCGATACCAGAGAAGCCCTTTAATTTTGGCGTCAAGTGTTTTTGTCATTAAGCGCGATAATGGAGATTGATGGGCACTTTTACTAGAGAGTTGGTTCTTGCTGTGATTTGCATCATCAGTCATTTGCCAAGATGTGACCTTGAGGAAGCTTCGTCGCAACTCACATATAAGGTAGGCCAAAGACTTTTTTTTTTTTTTTTTTTTTTTTTTTTTTTTTTTGGGCATTTGCCATTTCCAATGTTATCACTTTGATTTGCCACCCAAGCGTTTCTTCCGTGGTCCCCCTCTTTCTCCTTTCCCCACTTCACTTAATCATGTCTAAATCAGATTATTGATTTGTTTTTGTGGGGGTGGAGAGAAAAAGATAAAAAGGCAAGATTCAACTACCATTTTACTAGTATCACGGTAGATCTTCCCACTCATTGAAAGTAGATCACAAACTAACTTTTTCAAGGTAAATTTTTCCTAAAACAGTTTTCGCCACTGCCATGGCTCCCACCTTGTTCAAGAAAAGAAACCTTTGGAATGCAGTTTCCGAATTGCGCATCTGAGATCCGGTGATTGTACAAGTTTTTATCCGAATCCATTTCGGATATTTTCATTTGACAAATATAAGTTTTGTAATTTACTCAGTTCTCATCTTCATAGTTCATTGTTCTCTTATCAACAAGACACTTTTATTTTGGCACTTGTTTCCTTCTCGGTCTCTATATGGAGAAAAAAAATAATATAAACTGCCTGGCATCAAACGATGACACGATCATTTTCGCCAATAGACACTATAACACGCCCTTAATTCCATTTTCTACTATTGGATTACATTACCAACAACAATTAACAATATGACTTACCAAGTTGAAACAGACCATCTAAAATTTCTTGATTCCAACAACTATAACGAGACAATATTGCCCAAGTTTGAGAAGTGTTTTAAGACTTCCTTGGCTCTTGATCAAGTGCCTTCTCAAGCCATGCCTCGGCATCTTCCATCATCCCGGGGCTAAGCCTCACCATCAAGATGCAGAATTCAGTCTCATTCAGTGCTCCGTCTCCATCGAGATCGCCTTCTCTTACCATCGCCTCGGCATCCTCTCGGCTCATTCCTTCCATTCCGAGAAGCGCGGAATTCTTCTTCAGACTGCCGGAGGTGATCAAACCCGTTTCGGGGTCAGCCAGAAGCTGAAACCCTTTGCACAATTCAGTGACAAAGCTCTCCACATCAAGCTTCTCCGCCATAACCGGCAACAAGTCTTCGTACTCGGTTGTTGTTTTTGTTGTTGCTGTGGTCTTCTTCCTTGCTTGATCATGTTCCATTTTTGTGTTTGGAAAATGATGGCACAAAAAGGAGCCAAGTGACAGATGAATGGAACAGGCAAGAGTTGCAAAATGTTGTGTGGATTATATAAGGATAGTATAAAAGTCTTTGGAAAGTTTCTATGCTTTTTGGATGGACTATAATGTTATGGTGGTGTTGTCGCATCTTGGCATCAAACTGGCCAGCCGCGTGTTTTCAATCCAGGCCTTCCGTTGGATTTTGGTTATCTCACAAAAAACGAGTCCCCACACATTTTAATCATATCAGACTTGCCTAGTTCAATACGCATGCCATAGGATTAGAGATCACACTCACAAGTGGACGGTTGTGATTTGATTCCTCATAGCGCACAATACATGTGAAAAGGGTCTAGGCTTGACATTGATTTTTCATTTGCTTTCCGGGACTTCTATTGCCAAATATATATATATATATATATATATATATAAAGAGAATTTATGGATAAAAAAAATAAATTACTAATAATTTTTTTATTTTTTCACTATCAAATCTGTAAAGAAATTATATTATTTTATACATTTTTTTAATTTATTATAATTTTAATTAGATCTAACTATCAAAACTGATATTATTAATAAGAAAACGTACCAGAAGAAGTCCTATATATTAGTTTCAAGAGTTTCTAGGAAGGTTCTTTAGAAGGAGAATAGGAAGATATTGTGGCTAACGTAATCTTGATTGGAAGGAATAGCTTACATTTTCCCGAGGTTGGCTTCTGTGAAGCTTCCTTTGCATTTTTCAAATCCTTAAATAATGGAATTTTGATATTTATCAGCTCTTTCCAACTTGTTTGTTGCATCCATGGAATCAGCCGTCTGAATTCTGAAGTACAATTATTGGTGATATGCAAAGAAAAGAATAAGGGTCGGCTTGAGTTTTATTATAAGTATTTTAGTAGCACAATTTCCCTGTCCAATCTAATAATAATATATGGTTTCTGAATGTTACTTTTTTTTTTTTTTAATGCTAAACAGAAGCCACACTTTAAATAAAAAATAAAATGGCTTACTTTTCACATGAAGCCCTTCTAGACGGCAAATGTTTTGCGCGTTTATTCTATAACCTATATGTAGCTGTTTAGTGCTAGTAGAATGATTCTTAAAAAAAAAAAAAAAAAAAAAAAAAAAACTTCTCTTTTGATTTGTTAATTGTTTATTAACACATAATTTTTTATAATAAATATAGCATTGCATATTTGCCGGTCTCTTTAATGTTATGGACTTTGTAAACGAGGGCCTGCACTGTGTGAAAGTTAGAAAAATCATGTCAATAAATGTTGACACATCCATATGTTTTGGAGTTTTCTGATTATGGCATATATAATATAATGCATGCCATTTCATTTTCTCAACTTCTCCCTTGGGGCCACAAGCATAACATTTTAGTTCAAAGACATAAAGATAAATCAGACAAATAATAGCCAATAAGTTTCCATCAATCCGTTGTATTTCATGCATAAAAACCAATTGCTCAAGGAAAAACAAAATTGCAAGAAATCATTCATTGAAAAAGGTTACGTGAAAAAGATGGATATGTAATGGCATGTGTAGTTTTTGAGCTCCACCTTTTTTTAAATTGTTTTTGGGGTTCACTTGGCACTTCCCTATTGGTAGCTACCAATTTTCCTTACCTTTTTTTCCTTGCTTCATATCCATTTTCCTTTTAATCTCAAACTTTCTCGAGAAAATTAAAATTCAATATAGTAATGGAAATGTTCTCAGTCTGATGGTTGTACCAATCCTATAAATATAATATTTTTTATTCATCTGTATAACATCATTTGTGCATTAATGTAATGTTTATTTTATCTAAGTGTAATACTCAATAAAATGTAATATACCACAATGTTACATGTAATTTATTTCAGTATTACCATAATACATTAAAAAGTTACAAGTTCATACGAAAATCATACAATACAACCGCCGGACTTAAAACTATATCATTATGTGAAAAACGGATCTAGATTGTTGATGATCCCTTCTAGCTGGCCACCAAAGCTATGTTTATTGCTTAGAATATCAAATTAAGGGCTCTTGTATTTCTCACTAAAGACAAGAATTGTAGGTTTAAATAGTTCTGCAAATTGATGGGGAATTTGTGAAAGAACAATATTACCACAAGCATTGATTTGGAATATGAACAAAAGAATCGATATTAATAAAATGGACAGAGATATTTGTCTATGGTGCACTCTTGGTTGGAGACATGTCTTTCACAATATCCGTAACAATTTCTGCCGCCTCTTTCAAACGCCACAGTTTTTGCACAGATCAAGCCATGATTATTTTAATCAAGATTCCAAAGAAACGTTTAAGACTTAATTGAACCTAAAACACAATATCTAATTTCCAATAGTAAAGGCAAAAACAAAGTCACAAGTCACAACAATAAAGTTGGCCTATGCCTGCTAAGTCCAAGTTTTTTTTATTTTATTTTATTTTAATTTACTGTCAAATAAAATATATCGTTCAACTTGTAGATCTGATAGAAATATTGATATCCATATAACAATATATTTACTACGATAGTTCGCTGATTCGAGTTGAGATGCGATTTTATGTGAGAGCTTTTTATTATAACAAAAAGTTAAATAACTGTTTTTTAGAACATTTTACTGTAGTAAAACTCGAATTCTAAACTCAAATCGGTGAAATGAACACGGAGGCCTAAAGAATGCGGAGGAATTTATTGCACACTTATCCCAATTAGATCATCGTCAGTATGAATGTCAATACTAATATTATATTTGTTACTCAAAAATATAAAGAACTAGCGGACAGCGGTGGTCAATGGCCCCTTAATCCAATTACTTTCAATTTTATCTATCTAGATATGTTTTATTTGACCGTTAATTTCACTCGTCTACGTCCTTCGAGTAACTTTAGATTTTCTTTGGAACAAGAAATATCATTCCCTGTTCTTTCAGTCTAAAAGCACATTAAAGAAGAAAAGATATTTTCTTAAAAAAAAAAAAAACAGCAACATTTATGTTCTGTGTGTGTGTGTGTGTTATTTTTTGAAGTTTATGCATCTAAAAAATTAATTTGTTTGTTTGTTTTTTTTTTTTTTTGTACAAAAGGGTAAAAAGAACAATTTAAATCTCCAAATATGATTGAGGCATTGAGCTTACTTGAAGGACTATTTTTTAATACGAAATATTAATTTAATATTATCTAAATACATAAGTATTAATTCACTAATTTGATAAAACAGAGAGTATAAGAATATAATTTATCGTTTCTCCTATAAATTAATTATGATAAAATAAATCAACTAACAAGGACCTTAAACAATTCGTACGACTTTGTAATTTTTCCTTGATGGCCGAATTTCTTCTTTTCCTTTATAAAGAGAAGGTGGAGAAAAGGGAAGCAATATCATTTTCTAAATGTGTTGTTTTCATTGATTGATGATATTAGTTTCGAAATGATATTCGGCTCCACACTGCTTAACTCTGCATACATTAAATTTTTTTTCCTTTAGGCCCGTTTATTTTATCAATTCGAATTTTCAATTTCAGTTTTGTTACAGTTAAAAGCTCTCACAAAAAGTCACATTTAACTTTTTCTACTGCAGGAAAAGCTCTCACATAAAATCACATCTCAACTCGAATTAAAAACTCGAATCCGCGAACTGAACGATGCCTTATGTCTCGTTTATTTCACCGATTTGAGTTTAAAATTCGAGTTTTGCTACAGTAAAAAGCTCTCAGAAACAATCACATCTAACTTTATTTATTACAGTAAAAAACTTTCACATAAAGTTACATTTCAACTCGAATTAACAAACTAAACAGACCCTTAGTGTATGTAACAAGTGGGGCCAACTGTGTTTTGTGCCTATACGAAGCTGGAAGCTGGTGCGGAGCTGCTTTTGGGGAGCCGTATAATAAGATTATATTAATTTGCCTTTTCTATCTTAGTTCTTGGAATTAGTTTGTTGTGTAACTTCCTAAGATTTTGATATTTACTATATTTAGGAAATTATTCTCCTCATACACTTAGCTTTCACTTAGATGACGTTTATTTTGATAGAACGAAATAAAAATAAAGATAGGAACATTGTAATGTGAGAATAAGAATAAATTTGATTTATTCTAATTCCGTTGTTTAGTTGAACATTAAAATTAATATTGCAATCACAATTATCATATTTGGTTAATTATTAGAGTGAAATGGAATAATAATTTGACAAAAAATATCCGTTCATATAATTTGATAATGTTTCAAAACTAAATTAAAACACGTTCTAAAGTGTTTTTTTTTTTTTTGTTCTAAAGTGATTTTTGTTTTTTGCTTCATAACTAATACTTAAAAAATTAACTTTGTAATATATTCATAATAATAAAGATGAAAAAGTTTGTATCAGAAAATTTACGTATCAATATAATTCTACCATCAAATGTAATGAGTGAGTTGCAGTAAAGTTGACAAATATCAAGTTTAGGAAGAAAAGTTTTTTTTTTATTAATATCAAGTTTAGAATGTAATGATCATTTCACACAATAGGAACAACTATTCAAGCATTTTAGTGTAATAGCAATTCCACAAAAATAACTATTCGAGAGTCTTTGCGGAACCAAACGCAAGAATAATTGAATCTTAAAAATTATAATATTCCAATGATACAAAAATAACTATTCGTGAGTCTTTGTGGAACCAAACACAAGAATAATTGAATCTTGGAAATTATAATATTCCAATGACACAAAAATAACTATTCGTGAGTCTTTGTGGAACCAAACACAAGAATAATTGAATCTTAAAAATTATAATATTCCAATGATCATTTCATCAAACTAAGCATAACCTTAGGCTATTATTCTGTTATAACCTTTTGTCGTATAATTGAGCAAAGCGTAAGATTTTGTGCTTTTATCCTCGACTAATTGTCAGGAAAAGAATTATGAGTCGTAACTTCACATTGAAAAATTTTGGACTTTGACCATTTATTGTAGGCAATGCTTATGGCCAGTCGGGAACCAGCATTTCATTTTAATAGAGACATACATTAAATTTTTTTAATAAATTATCTTAATAAGAATATATAAAAAAATATATTTATTTAAATAAGGATATATATTATTTCAATAAAAATTTAAATGTAAAATTTTATAAATTTTAAAAGTAATATTTTTTTCAAAAATATTTAAATGAAGACGGTAGCCTCAGCTTTACTTAACTTTGTCATCGGTCATAGTCTCCATATCCTATCAATTTTTTAGAATCCAATCGGATGCCTTAACTAAGTCAGGAAGGAGGAAAAGTTGTTTCTAAATGAGGAAAAAAAAAAGGGTACAGTTTTTTGTCCATCAGACATTAAAAAATAGGGAGTTTCTTATGCAAAATGAGGGACAAAATCTTGAAAATAAAGAAGGAAAGAAAGAAGAGAAAGAACGAGTGGGAGAAATACAGAGAAACGGAAAAACTTCGAGGACTATATTTTTAGTCGCTTACTCTGAACAAGAATTATATTCGGTTTAAATAGGCAAATAAAAATTCAAGAAATCAACCTAAAATCACGAATTACAATTAATAATACTAATCACACGGATAACAGCTAATAATACTAATCACAGAGCAAATAGAGGCATAACTGGATGCATGTATTTAGGCTCTGTTCATTTTACTGATTTAAATTTTACTACAGTAAAAAACTCTCAGAAACAGTCACATCTAACTTTTTTTGTTACCGTAAAAAACTTTCACATAAAGTCATATCTCAACTCAAATTAAAAATTTAAATCAACGAACTAAACGGGCTCTATTCGGTGGTCAATATTTAGTGCCTTAATTTCTGGCATTTCAATACTCCCCTTCAAGTTGGTTCATCCAGCTTGCAAACAAATATTCAAATCTTGAATTGAATCGCGGGTGTCTGCACTCTTCGACGGCGCTTCAAGACTTCAACCCATCCAATTTTTCTTCAAGATGTATTCACATATCAAAAGAATATCAACTCTGCTCGAACTTGCAGAATCATCAATTGCGCTCGAACATGTAGATATTTAATTTAACAGATTAAGATTTCCAAAACTTCATATGCCAGGCACAAATTTACATGAGCTTCATGGCATATGCTTCAATTTGATTCAGGAGATTAATTTCCAGAGTCAGACTCAAATTTGCGAGCTTCACACCACTGAATGATTCATCAAAACAATTATTTATTTATTTTTTAAATCATTAAAACAATCATTTTTTTGAGACAAACGACAACTTTCTGGGGGTGAAAACGACATGTAGGTCTTTTTTTAGAGAAACAACACACTGAAAAAAAAAAAAAAAAACAAAAACGACAAATTGAACTGAAAAAATGACATGTCGTTTCGATCATCTTCAACCTCTTATCTGCGCATTTTGAATGACGACAATGAACAAAAAAAAAATCAAAATCTGAACTTAGAACACACTTTGAGAAAGAACTTCAGAGTACTAAACTAAAGAAACCTGGACGTAGGAGACTGACTCTTGATGGGCAAGAAAAGGTACTCTGTTTTGGATCAAAGAAATAGAGTAAGAATAACTAAAACAAAACAATGAATTAGACTGAAACGGAAACAAAAAATCCAAGGAGCCAAAAGTGGCTCTGATACCATGTTGCAAAATGAACGACAAAATCTTGAAAATAAAGAAGGAAAGAAAGAACAGAGAAAAAACGAGAGGGAGAAATACAGGGAAACGGAAAAACTTCAAGAACTACATTTTTACTATCTTACATTGAACGAGAATTACAACCGGCTTAAATAGGCAAATAAAGATACAAGAAATTAACCTAAAATCACGAATTACAGCTAATAATACTAATCACAGAGAAAATAGATGCACAACAGGGTGCATATTCGGTGGTCAATGTTTGGTGTCGTAATTTGTGGCCTTTCAATAGTTTCTCTAGTTTGCTTTCCCACCGATAAAATTTTTGGGACCCTTAAATCTAATCAAAATCACGTAAAATCACAATAATAGACACTTTTTAATATAAATGGATTGAAAAAATATGCCGAATAAATAATTTTTAATATAAATTTAATGATTTAAAATAAAAAATTACCGGTAATTTACTTTGATGATCCTAATAGAGAAACCCTATAAAAATTAAGATAAAATAAAATAAAATTCACCTTCCAATTCTCGGTAGTTTACTTTGGTGATCCTAATTTGACTGCTAAAAGGTCAATGGAGAAATTTCCAATTCCCACTTTTAAACTGCATACAAGAAGTGAGAAGTCTAATGATTTCAAATTCAATAGGAGAAACCCTTCAACAAACAATGTAGAAAAAAAAAAAAAAGAAAAATTCCATCAACAATCAAAATAGGCGGTCCAACAATCATTATTTATTTTGAGAGTGCTACCAATTGTCCTTAACAATCTTGAATTTTTCAAGTATGAATTTTCCTTCTTTGTACTTCTGAGATTCCTCATAAGCTCTTTCATATTTCCAACCCAAAACCTCCCCACAATCCCGGCAGTGTACATCAGAAACTGTGTGGAGCCCAGTTATGAGCCTCCTGTCTTGTTGGGGCCCTAAAACTACGTTCATGGTGTGAGAGAACAAGAAGGCTCTTCCATTTATTGCCTGACACAAAAACATTTTCATGTTTCTAAGACAGAAAAATAAACTAATTATGCCAATATAACACTCCATAAACATTCTACTTTATTCCCTCAAAACAAGGGAAAGAATATCGAGAATACAGTCAAGCACATGAATATATAAAGCGAAGCGTGCGAAATTAGTGTGCATATATTCAACTAATTTTCATCGAAGAAATCAGTCACCGGTTCACCTGAAAATCTTTGGAAACGATGTCATCGTGGCGAGATATGAGGTTATGGCACTTGTAGCAGCTGTACAACCTTGGCGTAACTGAATCCGCCATTGATGAAGTTGCTTTAGTTTCTGTTCCACAAAGAACAAGGAACAAAAAAAAAAAAAAAAAAAAAAAAAAAAGGAAAGAAAAAAAAAAAGGGAAAAAAATAAAAAAAAAA